GAAATCTGCAGGGAGCCCGGATTCACATTTGCTTTAAGTTAACATTGCTTGTGCAGAAAATTGCATTTAAAAGAAAAAAATCAGTCTGTTGTATATTACCAGCTCTTTTAGGTTAAAAATACAATTTGCATAAAATTGGAAACATTGGAGCTTTTGCAGATTGAAAAAAATCACTTCATGCAGACACGAACAAGTTTAGATTTAATTTATCATTAATTAAAAAGTCCGAGTAACACTTTCAACATATACACAGTGAAAGGAATACAGTACTGGTGGATCCTATTTTTCCATGTATGTTCGTGCATTTTCCTTATCACGCACAAGGAATATGTGGACAAATGCAAACAGGGCAACATTGTCACTAACCTCTATGCCTACAGTACTGAATTCTGAGTGAGTCATCTGTGGAGACAGACGTGACTGCTGCTCAGGTGCCACCATTATCACCTTCGAACATTGCGGACCAACTGTACCATCCAGACCGCCACCTGTCGCACCGAACCCTCTGGACTTTCATGAATATAAGGACCGCCGGTGGGGCCACCCAGGACCATCATCGAGACCACAGGAAACTCCACCAGGACCACTACTGGAGAGTAGTGTCAACACCAGCAGGATTACTGGGAATGTCACCACCAAAACCAGGGCCACCGGAAGGATCACCAGGGCCGCAGAACCATAAAGGCCATCAGAGGCAATCACGAGGGCCACCACTAGCAGGACCACTGGGACCACCAGGAAGTCGGTGGCAAGATGTTAACTATCTTGCCTGGCATACAGGAAGTCGTGGGTTTGATCCCGACCCTGACGCCTGCATATTTGGAGTTTGCACGTTCTCCCCGTGGTTACATGGATTTTTTTTTCCCCTTCACGTTTAGAAACATGCGTTTAGAGTATTTGGTTGCTAAACATTTCCACATGATAAGCCACTTCGTTGGGCTATCATTTGTGGCCAGATCGCTTCTGAAAAGAGCTCAATAGCTCAGTGGCCTTGTCTGGTAAAAAAAATAGTTTAGTTTTTGTAGTTTAAATTAAGTAGCCAGTGTTATTTAACTATATATGATTTCTGAATAATTAAAACTGTCAGCGTTAAACATTCGATGAATATGCATTACGACGCTTGTGAACTGAGGAAGGCTTCATTGAGTCTCAAGATTATTTTCAGCAAAGTTTTGTCAAGTTCTTCGATTTGGGCTGATGTTGATGTCTGTGTAATCTCAATTGAGTCATGTACAGGTACGTTTTCAGCATTCAGATGTTTGACCAATACCAGTGACATTGTATCATGTTGAACTTTGGGAAGAAACTGGAGAACGCAAAGGAGACCCATGGGAGAAAAGGAGGTGGGGGGGGCATCCAAACTCCACAGAGGAAGGCGTCCGAGTCAGGAATTGATCCCAGGGACTTCTTCTTGTGAACCACCGGTGTTGAGACTGCGCCATCCTGCCACCCATATGATGGAAATATTTGAATGTACACTCAGCTATAATGTTGGCGGCAATACATAATAACGTTGGCAGGCCGGAAAGTTCGGCCGATGAATTTGACAGCTTATTATGTTTAGCAACATTTTATAATTAAGACGAAACGCCCAACCAAATTGAGAATGACAAGAACGTGGATTCACTTCACAAAACTATTTAGCATTCAGCATTGCCTTGAATCACATTCTGAACAGCTTGTAAATGCCACTTAAGTTATAATAGACGTAAAAAGGTAAAAAATGCATTAGCATTCCTTTCGAGCTTAAGGTTTTACATGCGTTCATTAATGTTCATGCCGTTACTAATATGGGTATTGATGAGAAGTGATATGCAATCCTGAAATTGGGAGACATTTGGCTTAAAGTAAAACGGGCTGTGGTCGGGGTTGCCACCTCTACGGTACAAAAAAACACCAGGACATATCGTGGGAAGGTCTCACAATACCAAATGAGGAGAGAACTACATGCACATGCAGTTTTGAGTCCTGCATTATTATGCAACTTATTAAAAAAACGGCACTTACAGATTTCCCAAATTAAATTGCCTCACAAGCAGGATCATTCCAGGAAACCCGATTTTCAACTTGAAATCCAGAACGATCGACACACTTTTCGACAACAAAGTGAGCGCTGGGTGCTGCTCTTCTCCTATATGTGGCCTCCATCCGATTGTGGACATTTCCACAAACGCAAGGTTGGAGAGGCCCACTCTCTCTCCTGAGGACACTCATCCAGAGAAACATCCGTGGTGCCAGCAGGGCCTATCAGGGAGCCTTCCAAACTTCACACGGCCTCAAAGTGCACCTAGCCTGGCACAATTAGTGGCCGATGACTGCTGTTGTTGGTGGGACGAGGGGCACGGGAAGGTGAGGCTGGGGGGTTGGATCTCCCGAGATCGGCGTTCTGTTAGTTAAGGGGTGTAAATGATTCGTGGTGGGAGCCAGGTGGGGCCAGATTTGGCTTTGCTCGGTCGTGTTAGTTGAAGGGAATCATTGGGGAACCCCGAGGGATCAGCGCTGGTCTGGCATTGGTGTTGTTGAGGGCGCGTCAGCGTTGTGTGGTGATGTTTTCATCGCGAATGACCGTGGCTGCCACGTTGTTGTTGGTGTGCGGAGTCGTTGGCAGAGAGGTGGGGACGATTTTAGAAACAACTCTTTGCCCGCCACCCCCCCCCCTGAAACAGCCTTTACACAATTGTTATAATAGTTTACCCTTAGAGGGCATCCTTGTGTGTATACTCTTTATCAAAGTTATGTATGTTTAACTTATTTCGCACCGTACTTAGGCAACCGTGCGAATCGGAGGTGCGGGGGAAGGACAACAAACTAAACACAAAAAAGGTGAAAAGCAAGCGATGGCATTGTCCCTGCAGTAGAGAAGGTCAGTGTGTTAAGCTGACACATCTGCCAAAACACTCAATGCAGGATTGCAGGACAGAACACTTTTCAGTCACTAAATGATCGATACAGGCATCCGCGATCGCATAGGACCCCATTAGGTATGTCATCTGTGAACGGCATAGCTCGTTCAACGCACATGTGGTGCACTCGCAGGGCAGGATTTACAGTGTTCCCTTTTTTTCGTGTGCTAAATTGAGCATGGTCCGATGGGACAACGGCCTGCGTAATAACACGCTTCCTCTGTTTAATGTACCTACTACCCTCGTTTTGCACTCAAGTTCTCCCTCCCCCAAACCCTCTGGATGCCTCGTAAATTGCGAGACTCTTCTTCCTGTCCACAATTCGCCCATCTATCATGTTTATGGCGGGCGTTCTCCGCACGTCGAGATGGCAGTCAGATTGCAAAGATCAAAGCCTTTGCTCGGCTCAAGCCACCCGATACCCAGAACGGCCTCAATTACCCCCCTTGCCCTCACCGGGGGAGCCGGCTTCTGTGTGTAATGGACAAGGGGGGCACCTGTCTCAACACACGTCTTCGCCTCCACCACACGACCTTTCCACGCCCCCTGACACCACCCCTCCTTCTACGTCTTCCAAACTGCCATGCAATGGCCACACTCCCATGCCATCAGGCATCGCACGTGGAATCGTTGTTAGATGGGCAGTGAACTAAGTTTTTATATCTTCACTATTTTAAGTTGACTCCTGTACTGTATATATACAAAGGTCCAGTCAAAGTGGTTACCTAAACTGAAATATTGTATGAACTCTCGCTGAAATTTACGCAGTTGAAATTTTAACAATGAGAAAAATGTATGTTTTTAAGAACCTAAAGTGAATCGAAATTTGGTTCGTTAATTCCAATCCAAACTCAAGAGTTTGCCCAATCTGAATTTTATATTTAGCATTTCGTAATGTGCAATTCGTGTGGAAGATATATAGTAATTCTGCTGTAGCTCTATATCACAGGACACACATGCATGTTGGGAACAATGGTGCATTGACATCATGGGACCTCCTTTGCCAGTACCAAAATATGAGAATACGTTCTTCCCCTTTTATCTGGCAACAAAACAGGTGTTAAGTTGTTAAAACACCAAACTGAAATTTTTTGCAAGGAATCATGTGTGCATTAACCACAATACTTGTGGTCAAAATGCAAAAAAACTCTGATAATATATGCATTCAATCTTGATTTGAAGCTTTTGTGACTGCAGGAATCCATACTCTGATTCTTTCGGTAAAGTCACGTTGGTAGAAAAAATAATAGATCAAAACGTTTCGATCGCCACACAAGCAATCGTCTTCATCGTCTTCCTGAAGACGATTGCTCATGGGACCTCCTTTGCATTGGGTAGGGTTTTAGCTGCGATTCCATTTTCTTAATCAATGCCCATGTTTCTGATTCACGTCATAGCAGGCAGTAAGCATTCATACAATATTTAAAATAAATTACTTCCAAGGACACATGCACGTCGGAAGGCATTACAGAATTCATGGATGATTTCATGGGACCCTAGAGAAAGTTTAACATGCTAGACAGGAGATAGTATAAATCTGTACACTTTATCTTCATGTTGGCCTATTTATGGGTATCAATGTTTTTAATTATCTATGATTACGTGTCCACAAGCATATAGTTTAATACCAATTCCAGTACTTAATCCAGGGAAAGTGTATTGTGTTGCTAATTATAACATGTTCATAAGGATTACGATTCATTTATATTGTGGCTAACTATATTTGGAAATATTTGCAAAACGTTGTACTTTCAATATCCCACTCTAAAGAGTTTCAGCGAAATATTTGGTAAAATGCAAAGTTTTAATTTTGTGGCATACAGGCAGCGTTTGATATTGAACAGAATTAGCTCCCTACTGCTTGGCCTTCATTCCCAGAGGCCACTACAATAAATCTAGCGTCACATTTGCGGGAATGGTGCACTGCCAGCCTCTTAAACTCTGTCCATGTGACAGCTTTTATAAAAAAAAAATTCCTGTTGACCTTTTGAGCTTTTCTTGAAAGACAATCCCTGCTGCTGTTTTCATGGTGCTTTCCCATCCCAGAATTCTCAAGTCCGTATGAGTTTGTGTAAAACAAACAAAAACAGCACACGCAAGAATGTAAAGTTTCGATATAACCCTTTCACATTTCATCAGCTGCAGATGAGAATTACATTCATGAGCGATTCTTAAGAATAAAATCACGATTTATGAAACAAATAAAAACTTTGAACACTGGCCACAAATTTAAGCCATCCTTTTTGAAAAACCAAAGCACCTCGAGATATGCTGGTTAGTTAATTAAATATTAATTTGGCACTTAAACATTATACTCGGTGTGGAAGTATCTTACGCAATGTTAATACAACTATTCGCAAGTTCATGAAACGTCACGTATTTAAAAGTGTGAGATTGCATTAATCATGTATAAAAAAATCTTTAACTAGAGAGTTCGAAGACTTTTCTACATTGAACAAACTGTTTTGGCAGTTAAATTTACGTCAGTGGTTTTAAGAGTGACAAATATAAAGTGTATATATATTTAACCCGGATAAAAGTGCAATGAAACATTCACTTTAAAAGGAAGGTAATGTGCAATGTATGTCCCCTTATCCGATTTGATTTGGGTTGGTGATCAGTGCGGATCCTATTATCCGTGTTTGCCTGTGCATTTGACTCTTGTTATCCATGTGGAAAAGCATGGATAAATAATCGGAAGAACTTTCCACCACTTCCGGCTTACTTATCTTATCCATGCAACAGCTCGGACTATAGGAGGTAATAGGAAGAATGACACCCGTCCACTTTAGGGTCATTTTGGGTCAGGACAAGCCCACGAATCACAGTGATACTGGAATTGCCATAATTTCGAGGTCACTGCTGTTGTTCACACGATCACAGGTATCGCTGTCATGGCAATGACGCGGGGCAAATCATTATCATCATCACCATCATCATCACATCAATCACCAGCATTATCATAAATATAATGTAGCTGAATACAGAACTAGTCAACCAGACAGTGAATAACCCAGCACTCATCAATACATCGCCATCATTACCACCACCAGCATCAATAACATTACGAGCATAACCATCAATGAAACAATGAAATCAGCTCATATGTCAATGCTGTATGGATTTTTGCATTACAGGAATGTAAGAGATGGAAATGGCTTGGGGAGGCCTTCATCCAACAGTGGATAGATTATGGCTGATGGTGATGGAAGCTTGATCGGTAAAGGTATCCCTCAACCAGATTTTGAAGTCCCAATTTCCGGAGTAAGTCAAATGCACTGATTACCGCAGCACCTGTTCAAATAAATATACTCGTGTAAATACAGGGAACTGCATGTACAGTTGTGTACAAGCACAGATCAACAAAACCTCTCGAAGATCATCGTAAACATCTGCTGTAGGTTAAAATGTTGGGCTATGGCTATCGTTGGAACAAAGAAGGCATGAAGGATTAGTCTAGCTAGTTAACACAATGCTATTATAAAGTTGCGTCAGCGAGTTTGCATGTTGTCATATAACACTTCGAGACATTTCACACGAAACAGTTTTTAGATTAATCTGAAAATATATGAAAATCTGGCCTGGATATAATTTCAGATAATCTAATTGTTTTGGATCCAAAAATGCCACATCACTTGGGTGACATCACATTCACATTTTTCTCACCAAAATTGCAGCCACGTGACATCCTTCTTTATGTAACATGTCACATTTTCTTTACATTGAAACGCTTTTAAATAAAAACTAAAAAAAATATTTTTTACCGATGGAACTTCATGGTAAACTTAAAATTCAACATTTAACATTGCAAAATTATGAAAATGTTTACATTTAGTGCATTATATAAATGTAATCAATCAGAACAAGAACATACATTTTTATATTGGGCCTAAAAATTAAAGAATATATTTGAAAAAACAAACGAAATCTGAAACGTATTCCTAGTTGCAACGTGTTTCTCACCCAATGGGTCAGAATACATTAAGAATGTCATTTCGATTGAAATGAGAAGCCCACAACTAAAAATGAAACAAGGTCACCTCGATGCCCTCCGTGGGTGTGACACTACACATGGAGCCTTGTAGACACAGCACTGCGGTACATGAAGGCAAGACTGGCGCCAAGAGTTATGTGGAACCAATCACAGCGTGTACTTGAGCAGAGGTCAGAGCGACAACCCAGGGAGCCGGAATTGAGGCATTATTCTCTTTGATTGGGAGCACATTGCAGGCAATCTTTGATTCATAGAGAAAATGGCTTTTGAGAACTTCATTTCTATTCTCTGAAAATTCATTTAAAACATAGTACAAACTTTTCTCTTATCCTGGACGATTTGTTCCTGAGATATTTCAGCCTACAGAAGGCAGGGACATTAAATGCATATTCGTCGACTAAATTCTATGTTTGGTAACAAAAATACATAAAACAAAGTGCCCCGTGTATTCTATGTAATGACCAAGAGGTCTGCAGTGGATGTTAACATCCTTTTACACTGATCACAAGATAAGTTTTGCCAGTGCAATAAATTAACAATTTTGAAAACCTGCATGCAACCAAAACTATCCTATATTAGAAGTACAATTACAAATTGTTATCTTACACCATGATTGATTTAAGAGATTAGGAACACTTTAATAAAGCAATCACTTGTATGAATTAGTGATAAAGGCAACTGGAACAATGTGAAATCTTTACACAGTTACAGGTACTGTAGATGGGCTTAATATTCTGTCATGAATGTAATGCATGTATACATGAACTGAATCACATTTTTACATCACTAAAATTACATTGACACTATGTGGTGAAATGTTCTGTACAAAGAAAGCAAAAAACAATGTTCAGTAAACATCATTCAAATAACCACGTGTATAACCTTGTGGTTGTGAAATAATGTGTGAAAAGTCAGCCAACACTGTTTAGTGTAAAAAAACAGACTGCAGATCTTTGGTGACACCTGCTGACCAATAGTGGGTACCAAAACTTTTGTTTGTAAGTGTTAATATTTGAATTGCCAGTGAACGTCACAGTAACCACCACAAGGCAAGAGCCAATTTATATTTGATAGGGTGGGTGACCAGCACCATGTTTGGCCGCCTTTGTCTCCCCAGCGCTGCAGTTATCTGGGCTAAATATGTTGAGCAATTGCCGCTATATACTTCCCTTAGTATACACGTACTAAATCACTTAGCATGTTGTACGAGTGCAAAACATGTACACAATATAAAATATTTAGACACAGCTATAGATATACATTATTTATTTAACAATATTATTGTAAACGACTTTACATAGGTTTCTTCCATCAAGCCTGGTGCCTTAAATGTTAAAAATAATTCCGAAGCAATACCATACAACTTTGGAATTGTACAAATAAACATACAAGATGGTCATTATACACCGATTACATTCGTTTCACTGCGGTAATCCATGAGTAAAAGCACTTGTTCCAGACAAAAGTGTATAAAATAAATATATATACAAGGTTGTAGCTTGTCCATTACGATATGCTGATGCATTCACTATAAATATTGCTGTGAAGGCCCACTGCCGCCGATCCAAGGACAGGTCATATCACCGCCTGGTAGCGACGAGTGCATAGCAGCGCGGTGATGTCAGCGGATGGAACATCTGCACCAGGGCTGCTTGGCTTACACAATCCTGCAAACGCACGAGCAGATAAAAAAGGATTCCACGTACACGTTGGACTTTTCTCGTATCGCAACAGCTCATGGCAACAAATAACAAAGCTGCACAGAAATAAATATAGCGTCAGCTTCTTAATGTTATTCATTTACTCTTCCGTATGTTGTCTGTTTATGTTTTCCGCAATGTATGTGGCCGTTCGAATTTCCTCCTGCCGACTACTTCACGTGTCGTTCTTCACCGCTGAACGGTGCATTTAAGTTTTTCTAGAGTGGCTGGTTGCATGTCAACAATATCGCACAGAAATTCAAAAGCCAATTAATTTCCGAGGCTCAAAAAGCATGGACCAGTGCTCATCTTCATTAACAGGCTTGAACCAGAGGTGGACATACCACATTCCTATGGCAGGCTGGTTTATCAATTGGTAACCTACAATTGATATTGCACAAGGTGGTGCTAATTTTATTACCACAAAAAAATATGAATAACGCTATCATTATTACCACACTTGCAACGGGAACTGTAACATCCACTGTGAAGCAGACGGCTTATTTTTAATGGCTAACAACACCCGCAGTAATAACCAGGGTGGCCACTGGAATTGAACCATGATGCTCTGCAACAAAAATCTGGGTCCTTTCTCTGTTCCTAATGGGCAGAGTATGCATAATGTTTGCAGATTACAGCTGTTACAGCTGAACGAGACAAAACATTCACACATTCGTGCAGTTGCCGACAGGGCTGAAAATACCAGTGTGCTTCTGGTCGAAATCGTAGGTGGCTGAAATGAATCCAAGTCAAAGATGTCTGTGGTCTAATGATGCCCTGACAAGGGCATCATTAGCCCACTGTTCCAGTTAGCCACGTAACACACACAATACACATACGGCTGACTTTTAGAATGATGGGGCAGGTGCCCTTAAGGCACGCGGCTGCTGTAGAAGACAACATGTAGCCTTTAAATCCCCAGTGCAGGTGTTGATATAACTGCTTCAGCTACCAATGTGAGGCTTCGTAAAGCTCGTCGAGGATTGTGCAAGACAGATACAGTGAGGGAAAAAAGTATTGATCCCCTGCTGATTTTGTACGTTTGCCCACTGACAAAGAAATGATCAGTCTATAATTTTAACGCTAGGTTTATTTGAACAGGGAGAGACAGAATAATAACAAAAAAATCCAGAAAAACGCATGTCAAAAATGTTATAAATTGATTTGCATTTTAATGAGGGACATAAGTATTTTACCCCTCTGCAAAACATGACTTAGTACTTGGTGGCAAAACCCTTGTTGGCAATCACAGAGGTCAAACGTTTCTTGTAGTTGGCCACCAGGTTTGCACACATCTCAGGAGGGATTTTGTCCCACTCCTCTTTGTATTACTTTTGGTTCAGTCCTGTACCTGTTCTAAGAGAAAGCACAGTCTGTCCATTAGGATGATGCCCTCAATGCAAGGAGCAAGAATCACCTTGAGCTGTTCACAGAGGAGAGAAAAATAATGCACGTAAATCAGTGCACACTCGTACAAGAAGAAGCATTGCCAAGTCCACGTGTTTTACGAATGTGACCAAACTGTGAAGTGTGGCCTGATAAACAGGGTGCGTCACCCTACCATGTTAAAGGCCTCCATCTCTGGCAAGCGAGGGAGGAATTTGCTGTAGTAATCTTGAATGTCAGCATCACTCAACTGAGAATACAATAACATGCAAAGTCACGTTGTTATATTGTACAAAGCAGGACAAGCACACACACACACATGATTGACGCATTTCAGACTTAGGAATACCTTTAAGAAAGGCAGTGCACGAGCTGTTATATGGCATAAGTAGAACATTTCTGAGCACAATTCTTTCAGATGCTTACCATATCGGGGTAAGGTGCAGCCCCCTGCACTTACTTGCTCATGCCACTGCTGGCCAAAGTGCCACTACTAGAGGAAGCTCAAGAGCAGTGGTTCTCAACCCGGGGTAAGCGGATCCCTGGGGGTACGTGGTAATGTCCCAGGGGGTACACGAGTTGATTTATGAATGTGTGAAATAAATATCATACACGAGACATTGGTGAATAGAGTATGAATATGCTATGGATCTGCCAATATAAAATAACTACAATAAAGTTGAAATCCATATGGTAACCGATAACGATATAAAATACCATTCTAAACTCATTGATCATAAACAATGTGGTTTCCAAGAGTAACCAGTGAGCACGAACAAATTACGTTACGTGTAGCAGAGCGTCCGTTAATTTTTGTTTAATTTGCTTGCTTGTTAGGATACTTCACAAAATTGACAATTGGTTCAAATATTGATGTTCGTTATTCATACATTGATTGCTCAGAACCATGTTGGGTCAGGCAAGGGGGTATATTTGGTTGAAACAAATTTCAAATAGGGGTACAGTAGCAGAAAAGGTTTGAGAACCACTGCTCTAGAAAAACCGAGATTGTATTTGGCCACCTCATCCACACTGAGCAGACATTGAAAGAGATGGGAGTACCCACACTTTACCCCATTACACACGACCTGCCAAGCAACTGGTGTAACCACGTGTACTGCTGCGAGAACAGAGACGGGTGGATTTAAAACGCTTGCCCACACTTTCAACGGCCGTACTGGGGATATGGAATGTCCAGTGCAAGTGTACTAACCATTAAATCCGCACCGATTCTTAAATGTGAGTGATGCACATTGACCAACCTTTGAGTCATCCAATTCCAACTTCTGCAGCGCCTTTCTGGTGTAATCGAGAAATGAGGTAGACTTTCCGTATGTCTTGCCCACACGCTTGGTGCTAGAGGGATCAGTGATGACAAACACGTTTGAACCTTTCATCAAATTCCCCAAAAATTGACTCCCGACAACACATGTAAAGAAGATAAAACCTCAGTAAGTGTACCAATAAGCCATGACTAGGATGTTCAGGATGTTCATAAACGTAAACCAATTTTGGTGGATGATGCACATAACAAATTGTATATGTTCAAACCACTTTACTAAAAGTGCGTCACATATATTTCATATACTATGTCTGCTCAAGGCCAGGGTCTCAAAAGTGCCAGCTACATACTCTGAAATTGGAATTATCCCTATAAACCACCTAACCACATTTTTAACTCGTGCTTTCTAAGCATATGACGATGTATGTATGATGAACTTCTTTCGCACCGTTCGTAGCCAACCATGCTAATCGGAGGTACAGGGGAAAGACAATAAACGAAACACAACAAACAGACCAAGAGAAATGAGTTTAAATATAGACTTCCTAATATCGTAAGAAAGAGCGTTCCAAAGGGCCGTAGAAGTGGAATTGAAAGCGCGCGATGTGTTGACCGTCTTGTAGTTTGCTAGTGGGAGCTGAGCACACACTGTTGTGGGCAGCGATAATTCTACCTGCTGAGGCTCCCATAATGGTCTTCAATGAGCACCTGCAGCACCGCTCGATAGAACAGTGACTCAGTGAGCAACTGCCAAAAAAGGAGCAATAAATTAGTTTAACAATAACGCACAACACAAAACTTTATTAGTCTTGTCCTCTTTTATCACATACCGGTAACTTCTTGAGACTGCAATTGCTGCTGTATGTTATTTTCACACAATCGAGCAATTTACTGCCGACAATAATAAGTGCTCCCCTCAGACTATTTACGCTTCTTACTTTATTTAAAATAGCCACTTGCGTGCACGTGCTTCGCATGCTCTGCCTAACTCAATATTTTTATTCTTAGATTTTTTTTCATTGCTGTTCCTCATGTCCTGTTAAGTGATGCCCTCAATTGAATGTTGAAGCACCTACCTTGTGTTGAATTTTAAAAATTATTGGTGTTCTGTATTTTTTTTTATTATTGTTTAACATGTAGGCTTTCACGACCAATATTATTCATATTAAAGGTTTTTTTTTACATTCACGTGATCTAACCTAAATGAAAACACTTTATTACGACTAATTATTGTTGTTCCGTATTTTTAATCACTAAGGTTCTGTATGCTTACGCCGTGACATACAGTACTCCGCAGGTCTCTCTTGCAAAGCAGCTCACCCGCGTCGCCAAATAAAATGGAACTGAACACATTTTATTAAAATAAATACTGAATTACATTCTGTAATAAGCTGGACAAAATAGCAAAATGTAGGGTTTTATTGCCCATTAAAGTTTTCTAATAGCATGCACGTAATTAATTGCAAACATCTTAACGTGGTCTAGCAAAAGTGGTTAAAGTGCATAAGTTGCCCACATAGCCTCATCCGGCTTTCATAATCAAAACACTGAGGTGTGCTGACAGCTGCTTTCAAAGCCAGTTACAATCACGTATTGGTCACGTAAAGGGATTTAACAACATGTTTCTAAGCAATAACTGCTGGAGCCATTTTGCTATGTGCAATGAAAGATTAATGTTCAACAGAACCTGAATGTTGGATTCAGAAGTACATAGTGACACTGCGATCAAATGTGCATTTGCATCTTCAATAATTATCTGATGGTCTGTATTCTCTCCTACTGTGATGTTAATTTGAAATGTGCAAAGATGGAAAAAAACATTTCATTTTCCACTGGCAAGACTGCTGTAAACTATCATCTATCATTTTACATTCAATTTAAGAGGTGATAAAGTTACACCCAACGCAACTGTCACATTCAATAATGCTGACGTGAATGTTTGCTGCAGATCATTTACATATGTTGCACTGTCACTTTGGATTGTACAATCTCATGTGCATTGCATCTATTTTATATGCCCTACCAATTATACACTATTCCATACATCAAACCACTGAATGGAAAGCATGAATGATTACCACTAGAAATGTATCCTAACTCATAATCAGAATGTTTGAATCAATTACAAAAATACGGCCTTTGTAGATACTCCCATAAAATGAAACTCAACTGGATCAAATTATGTCGGGGAAGATGCCACAGTCAAATTGCTCCCACATTCAAATGCACATGGGGTGGCTCTCATTTCTGTTGGTAGCCATGTGTCAGTGGTGAAAGCCTCACATTCATATTATAGGATGCATTCTCTCCTGAAGACAACCACGGTTAACTACCCACAAAGTTGAACTAATTTCATTGCCCTTGGAGGGGTGATGTGCTGAGTTGTTCCCCAACCGTGGTTATAACAAATAGTGCAGTGCAGGAGCACCGAAGAGCGAAATTGAATCAGCTTTCCCTTGAGCACATGGGGGCGAGTGCTTTCCCATACCAGTGTTTAGACAATTACCACAATTAGTAGTCGGCTAGCTTTGACGGATGTGGTCATTTATGCATCCTAGTGTTATACGAAATGTAACCTCTACTTCATTCAGTATTCATAAAAGCTCAAACAGAAAGACATTAAATCGTACCCCCTTTCCAGAAGTAACTCGTTCGGGTGCCTGAAAACAAAACCACAACATTCACAATGATGACCATGGAGACTGGAAACGTTCGAGACAATTGCAGTTGAAATGAAGATAAGAGCACAGTGATCTCTGTGTTATCCGATTCTATGCAGGGGCAGATCCAATCCATCGTGTTTATCTATGAAAATTACTTCATTGACCAATGTGGTGATGTGTGAACAAACACAAAGAATACCATTCATTCGTGAGTGCTTTCAGGTCACCCTTCGTGTACATGCTATCGGTATAGCGGAATTAATTTAGTACCTCTGGAAGATCACTTTCTGGTGGTCAGCCCGCTACCCTATAGGTCCCGAGTCAACTTTTGTTTAGGCACAACATCGGCAAGGAATAGCGTCTGGATGTCATCCTTAGATTGACCTCGTTTAACTCGGAACAAAGTGAGTACCTGATAATTAAGCGATGCACATCTGCTGCCTTTGTCTATCCATTGCATAGCACCAACAGTATTGATTCAGTACGCGCAAGCTCTGGATCGGTTTTGACACACAAGCGTCTCGTCAGCTGAGTCAGGCTGGTAAACTGCCCCATGTTATAAACAAGAACCCAGAGCAAGCATGGTGCTGGTCATACCACCCCAATATGTCTTGTGTCTGCTTTAACATAACCTCAATTATAGCACTTGTTCCTATACTCTACAGGGGTAACAATGAGCATCTCTCTCATTGGGTTAGGCATAGTTATATATCTCGAGGCACATGCACACATTTCAATTTGGCAATCCACTTTTGTGGATATTTTGCCTCCACTAACTCTCCTTGCGCAGTCAGTGTCCTGATTAACTGCTACACAGCATTTACAGAAGCCATATCAGCGCCGCTCAGGCATCATGTATGACGCATGGGGCATTGTGTCCAATGCACCAGCGTGATAATACGCATGGCAAACGCATACAAAATGGCAGAAAATGTGGCCAATTACTGCCAAGCCTCTGAATCAGCAGAATTGTTTTAATTACACCACATGATGTAAATACAACTTACCTAGAAAGTTGTTCAATGGAAGTGTTACCGTCATTCTTCCTATAAATAGCTGTCGCTTATTGCGCATTGGTGCACAGTTTAGGACAAACACGTTTGTATTCAACTCTCGAGCTAGGTTGCAATTCGTATGAGACAAAAGTGGAATAGTCTCCACGCTACATGAGCGCGGGGGGGGGGGTGTGCTTAACGACGTTAACAGCCATGAGACAGAGGTGGAAATTCCACCATTTGTACGGTTGGGGCCATTCTCTTCAAAGGACAACTACAGTTAACGTCACACAAAGTGATACTTATTTTACTGCACTGACAGGGATGATGGGGTTGAGTTGGCAACCAATCAAGATTTTAATTTGCTACTTTTCAAATTAAACAGTACTTCCAGATAACCAACCCTTATCTGAACCAATCAAAGAATCAATCCAATACATATAATACGCTATATTTAGCAAAAAGGTTAGATCGAAGTACAGATGACACTAAGTAAATTAAACTAAACATGAGGAACTGCCCTCCACGATGATGCAAACTGGCACATTCAGGCGTTATAACTTCTGACGAGTTGCAAGGAACCATGGTCTTGGAATTTGAGGGGTTGAGTTGTCGGTTGGTTAACATCAGCCAGTATTGTAGAGCTGATACACATTCTGAGCGCAAGTTAATTGTATCAGTTTTTGATGCAAACTGGACAATGCAAACAGACACGTAACTTAAGACACATCTTTGTCCGACCAGAATGAGAATAGTGAACTCAGCTAGACAACTACTCCATAGGAGTGACCCACGTACCACAGAAGGCCTGGCCATCTGTGGTACAGGAAAACCACGCTGAACGCGGTTTTATTGAATGCTTCAAATCCAACACAATAAACAGTGGAAGCTGGTTATAAGCAAACTTCATAACCGGCACAGTTCGGGTATAAGCAACATATGCGTATGTTACGCAGGTGGGGGGGGAGGTGAATGGAAACTTCTGATACAAGCACACTACCTGAGCCATATGCATACATTGCACCTTGCTCCTAAGGGAAGTGCGTCAACCCACATCCTACTGTATGCAATAAACACCGTGCCTCCCTTACCAGGCAGGCAGACATGCGCGAGTTCCTTCCAATTGTGCAGTGAAGCGACTTGAGATGGTCACTCATGGGAAACCCATATGCCCGCGATCCATCGTCTGCATGTCACGAAACAAGACATTAATACGGATAAAATGTTGGGATGATGAGATGGCAAAAACAAATACTTTACAAATACAATGCTGTGATAAGAGTTACTTTGAAGCTTCGGTCTCTGCATACCAAGCACACCAATGTAATGAAGTGCATCGATGTTTTTACGTTAAAGCGTTGCTGCGGTAAAATGAGAGTGGGGAGTGTTGCCCATTTCGTTTGGTAGTTCCGAGTTATCTGTAGAAATGATACTGAACCACTATATCGACGTTAGGTAGTAATGTAATCGGAACAACAAGCAAATGAAGAGAAACAACAAAATAACAAAATATATATAAAACAATAAAAAATTCTCACGACGTTTCGACCATAACTCAAACGGTCACCATAACTCAAACGGTCACCATAACTCAAACGGTCATCATCACCTGATGATGACCGTTTGAGTTATGGTCGAAACGTCGTGAGAATTTTTTATTGTTTTATATATATTTTGTTATTTTGTTGTTTCTCTTCAACGTGACTTTACCGAAAAAACTAAGAATATGAATTACTGCAGTCACGAAAGCTTTAAATCAAAATTTAACAAGCAAATGCTTAAGTTCTGTCTCGCAAGGGTAACACTTAAGGATGGCTTAATTTTTAAGAAGCTAGTTTATGTTACTTTTAAAATGTTCTCCATCCCAGTGATGTTGTGGTGATGCTTGGAGCTGCAATACACATGCCACTGCTATACAACTGCAAAATTATACGAAATGGTACTGAAAGGAGTGTCACTCATGTACAGTGAGGGAAAAAAGCATTTTTGATCCCCTGCTGATTTTGTACGTTTTCCCACTGACGAAGAAATGATCAGTCTATAATTTTAATGGCACGTTTATTTGAACAGAGACAGAATAACAAAAAAATCCGGAAAAACGCATGTCAAAAATGTTGTAAGTTGATTTGATTTTAATGAGGGAAATAAGTATTTTACCCCCTCTCAATCAGAAAGATTTCTGGCTCCCATGTGTCTTTTATACAGGTAACGAGCTGAGATTAGAAGCACACTCTTAAAGGAAGTGCTCCTAATCTCAGCTTGTTACCTGTATAAAAGACACATGTCCACAGAAACAATCAATCAGATTCCAAACTCTCCACCATGCCAAGACCAAAGAGCTCTCCAAGGATGTCAGGGACAAGATTGTAGACTGGAATGGGCTACAAGACCATTGCCAAGCAGCTTGGTGAGAAGGTGACAACAGTTGGTGCGATTATTCGCAAATGGAAGAAACACAAAATAACTGTCAATCTCCCTCGGCCTGGGGCTCCATGCAAGATCTCACCTCGTGGAGTTGCAATGATCATGAGAACGGTGAGGAATCAGCCCAGAACTACACGGGAGGATCTTATCAATGATCTCAAGGCAGCTGGGACCATAGTCACCAAGAAAACAATTGGTAACACACTACGCCGTGAAGGACTGAAATCCTGCAGCGCCCGCAAGGTCCCCCTGCTCAAGAAAGCACATATACATGCCCGTCTGAAGTTTGCCAATGAACATCTGAATGATTCAGAGGACAACTGGGTGAAAGTGTTGTGCTCAGATGAGACCAAAATGGAGCTCTTTGGCATCAACTCAACTAGCCGTGTTTGGAGGAGGAGGAATGCTGCCTATGACCCCAAGAACACCATCCCCACCGTCAAACATGGAGGTGGAAACATTATGCTTTAGGGGTGTTTTTCTGCTAAGGGGACAGGACAACTTCACCGCATCAAAGGGATGATGGACGGGGTCATGTACCGTCAAATCTTGGGTGAGAACCTCCTTCCCTCGGCCCAGGCATTGAAAATGGGTCGTGGATGGGTATTCCAGCATGACAATGACCCAAACACACACGGCCAAGGCAACAAAGGAGTGGCTCAAGAAGAAGCACATTAAGGTCCTGGAGTGGCCTAGCCAGTCTCCAGACCTTAATCCCATAGAAAATCTGTGGAGGGAGCTGAAGGTTCAAGTTGCCAAACGTCAGCCTCGAAACCTTAATGACTTGGAGAAGATCTGCAAAGAGGAGTGGGACAAAATCCCTCCTGAGATGTGTGCAAACCTGGTGGCCAACTACAAGAAACGTCTGACCTCTGTGATTGCCAACAAGGGTTTTGCCACCAAGTACTAAGTCATGTTTTGCAGAGGGGTCAAATACTTATTTCCCTCATTAAAATGCAAATCAATTTATAACATTTTTGACATGCATTTTTCTGGAATTTTTTGTTGTTATTCTGTCTCTCACTGTTCAAATAAACCTACCATTAAAATTATAGACTGATCATTTCTTTGTCAGTGGGCAAACGTACAATATCAGCAGGGGATCAAATACTTTTTTTCCCTCACTGTAGAAGGGAAGACAGTACACTCGTGGCAGGCTTGTGAACTGCAGCTGAAGGACTTTTGAGTAAACAATATTTGTATTGACCACAAAAAAAATAATATTCTCATCAGCAATCAGGCTTGGATAGAACTAGAACCCATATCCCAAGGAGAGTGTCATTGCCTAAAACATCTGGCAATGTAATAAAGTATTAAAGCTTTCGTGACTGCATAAAATTACTCATTGTTTTTTTCGGTAAAGTCATGTATGTAGAAATACAATGTACCAGCATCGATTCAAACGAGTCTGACTGCTAATGAGACACTATGTCAAAACCAGTCCAGGGTTTTTGCTTATACCGCATCAATCCTGATAAAATGATGCACTCACGGAAGGCTGTGTGGCTTATGGGTTGCGTTAGAAAGACATTAATATTACATGTAGAGACAGATATATGAAGACATTGCTTGAGCTACTCAATTGTTCTGGAAGTACAGCAAAGCATAAAAACTCTACAATACATTTGCGAAAAAAATTCATATAGTTAGGGGAAAAAGGACATCGTGATGATTGCCACATCGTGAAAAATTGACATCTTATCGCGAAATGGTAAAATCGCGGGAACTTTGGTGCACACGTACAAGTGAGACAGATGCCAAGGGGGGGGGGGGGGGACCCGGCTGTACCTGCTGCCGGGGAGCTGTGCAGCTGAGATGGCTCGGTCAGCAGGTGGTAGCAGCAGCCTACGCTGCACACGCCGCGCAGCGCCGCTCTCCCAGCGAACAGCCGCAACGTGGTGGCCGCCAGGTCCCCGCACGTGTGCAGCCCCACCAGCAGCCCCGTCTGCGGCTCAGACACGTTCGCCTCGTCACGCACCGCCTGCAAGGAGTGCTGTCATGTGTTGTGCATTGTCGGGTGGGCCCGCACGTCAGGGGCTGCACTAAAGGCCACCGGGCGCCGCCAGTGGCCTGCGGGTCTTGTTTTGAAGAGCACTGACCCAGGGTCTCGGATTTTGAAAATTTACAGTGGTTGAAACACAACAGCGGAGCACTCGAATAAACCCTGGACAGGAGCCTCAACAGTTGAGCGAGAAGCTCGCAATCGGATCCTGGTTGGGGGTTGACTCAGCCCATCACCCTTCCGGGTCGTTAAAACGAGTACCATCTTGTGGGGAAGTACACAGTGGTTGTCCTCTGGATAGACTAGCCTCCGCCAAAGGAATTTGGAATGTCTACGACTGGGTCAAGGCTGTAAACAGAAGATGGGAATCGTTGCAATGCTCATATGAGCAAGAAATCACTTACACGTTTTTGACTTGTTAAATAGTAAGCAACCATATTCACACGTGTTACGCATACATTTAATAAAGCACAGGAAATAACAAATGTATCAAGAGTGGTTAGAATTTTGAGTCTGAATTGCAGGGTCAAATTAGGCAATTACATCCAACCTTAAAGCACATGGTTTCCACACCGCAAGTTAAGCAGTTGGTGAGGATCGAGAAGAAACATGTGTACTTATATAACAAGTTATTGATATGTTTAACATTTAAAAATGCCTATATGGTGTAATTTTGTTTCAACCATGCGTGTGCTTAATGCTTTGCATTACCTAGATCATGCTTTGTACTCATGAAGTATGATCTCATCCATGACAGTGCTGATGTTTACTCTGCCTGCAAGCATTCGTACTGCACAATAAAGGCTTTTGGGTTAGATCGTGTAAGTATAAATGTGTTGCAACCCTCCACCACCCGTGATGGGTGGTGGTCGGTGAGCTGAAGAAGTAACTAATTGTCGTTTTGTTAAAGTGACACATTTTGTTACCGATTGGCCGTGTCAGGTGGTGGAGGGTTGCGACACATTTATATTTATTGGATCTAACCCAAAAGCCTTTATTATGAATAATACTGGTCGCGAAAGCCTACATGTTAAACTGATTCTTACTGAAGCCAGCCAGCCCAGCAGTACAGGTTCTGGTGACCCAAACCTGCTTCAAAAATGCATACAGATGGGTATCAGACCCAGCACAGTGTGGCTGAACAACCACATACCTCTCTGCACATTACCACAGCCAGATTACCAAATACACACTTTTCGCAACAGCAGCTAAACACAAGAGCATTGCATATATATTTCTCGATTTAAAGCTTTCGTGACTGCAATGATTTATCTTCTTTGGTTCTTTCGGTAAAGTCACGTAGAATGAGAATAAAATAATAAATTGATAAAATAAAATAACACAATAATATTCTCACGACGTTTCGGCCACAACACAAGCGGCCTTCATCAGGTGAAGGGGCGAGACTGTCTGGTAGGACAGCGCTGGAGTGAAAGAGCCACGTTCAGATCACGGCCTTTAAGCTGTGTGAGAGGAACAAAGCGCCTTGACAAAGGAATTAGCATATAATTTAGCATTGAAATGGCTGAATGATTAGCTTGTGACTGGTCACAGAAATAGCCAGACATACAGTACCCGGGCATTTACAAACTAAAGTGCCTCTGTGGTAGTAGCTACATTGGAGAAACCAAAAGACATATCTCGGACCGCATCCGCGAACATAAAGCAGACTTGAAACACGGTAGGACGAACTCCTCTGCCGTGGCAGATCACTGTTATAATTCAGTGGGCTCACATGACATTGACTTCTCCAAGACGGAGGTTCTTTGCAAACCAACCGGCTACCATGAGAGATTCGTTCATGAGGCCATTCACATATACAAGCACAGAGACAATTTCAACCGAGAAGATGGATTCAGGCTTAGTAACCACTGGAAAGATGTTTTAAATCATTTATGTTCTTAATTAATTGTATTTTTACGATGACCTTCAGACCGCAGCTCTTTCGCCAGCATTGCCTCTTAATACCTCTCACACCACGGTTAATGGTATAGTTTTACAACATGGAGTATACTAGGGCCTCGCAGCTGTCTCTCTCCCCCTCCTCTGTTCCGACCATGGACGAACTCGTCCGTCTGAACGGGGCCCGTAGCTATCCGTGGTGCTGAAATTTGAGGGTAAGAATCCACCCATTTTTTCGCCATATAGCATTGTGATATATAACGACTTATTGTTGGTAGCTTAGCTGATTGGAGAATATAGAGTTTATTGATAACATGAAGGTAATTTATATTTTAGTTTTTATTGGTTCACTATATAGTACTGTGAATAGCTCAGATGTGTAGTCATTTCTGTGACCAGTCACTAGCTAATCACTCAGTTATTTCAATGCTAAATTCGCCTAGTTATTTCAATGCTAAATTCTCCTGTTTGATTTGTACTAAGTGCCTCGGTGAATGTGTATGCTCTGACTTTAACGTAGCTATTTCTGTAGCAGTTACAAGCTAATCACTCAGCTATTTCAATGCTAAATTCTATGCTAATTCCATTGTCAAGGGGTGCCTCTGCGGATGTGTATGCCTTAACTTAGCTATTTCAATGCTAAATTCTATGCTAATTCCTTTAACAATGGGTGCCTCTGCGGATGTGTATGCTTTAACTTTTAACATAGCTATTTCTGTGACCAGTCACAAGCTAATCATTCAGCCATTTCAATGCTAAATTATATGCTAATTCCTTTGTCAAGGCGCTTTGTTCCTCTCACACAGCTTAAAGGCTGTATCTGAACGTGGCTCTTTCACTCCAGCGCTGTCCTACCAGACAGTCTCGCCCCTTCACCTGATGAAGGCCGCTTGTGTTGTGGCCGAAACGTCGTGAGAATATTATTGTGTTATTTTATTTTATCAATATATTATTTTATTCTCATTCTACGTGACTTTACCGAAAGAACCAAAGAAGATATATATTTCTCTCACGTATATATTATTTCTCTGTCTGTATCTGCTCTGTCTTTTCCGTCTACATTTCTGATGCATATACCTTGTGCCTCTGTGCAGTTTCTGTCTCATTAATGCATCGAGTCCTATCTCTCTGTTTTGTTGCCTCACAACTCTTTGGCCTTTCCCTGTCTCTCCTCTCTTATGCATTCAACTGTTAGTTTCTTCCTTTTCCGGATCCAATTTAGGAGAAAAAAACTGGATTCTAAAAATAGATGAAAACTGAAAAGAAAAAAAGTAGCAGAAAGTCTGATAAAGTGTGACCAAAACAAAAACACTTAATAATAAAGGTCTTTGGGTTACATCGTGTAAGTATGAATGTGTCATAGCCCTCCACCACCCGACACAGCGAGTAAGGTTTGTCAACGCGCCAATTAGTTACTACTTCAGCCCACCGTGTGTTGGAGAGTAAATCCACACCATTTACAATTTGAATACGACGTTTCACTGGTAATTACATCCGTCATCATCGGGCGATTTCCCAAATTGCAAAAGCCTACATGTAAAAATAAAACACTTGATACAATCTAGAAACTGAGAAAACCTAATAATGACTTGTAATAATTGTAACACTGCAAAGCTAATTATAGTTACACAACTCGTGGAAAGTACTTGACGGTGTGAAAGGGCACACCTTTTTACACGTGTGCACATATTAGAACGTTTCATTTAAAAGGTGTTGTTTTTACAATTTCGTTTATACGCTTAAATGTTGTGATGGATCGTCATTGGCCATGAAGTTTAATGGTGCACAAAAGGTAAGCCCTTGCGGAAGAAGTGAAGGGAGCCCAGAACTCGATTATTTATTCAAGCAATGTGCACATTCTGTGCAAATGTATTATTGATAGTCCTCTAATAACGGATTTGGTTGGCACTGTGGTAAGGGCGAGTGACTCGCAATCATAAGGCTGTGAGAGTTCAAATTCCATCTGCTGGAAAGGGGAGCTAAGCCGTTCACAGCTGAGCTTGGAAACAATTTGACTTTTCATGCAGAGTAAATTATAACGCGGTGATCAATTTCTGTCGTCTAAATATAACGATTGGGAATACGAGAGGAAATACGACATGCTGACCAATGAAGTCAACTGAAATCTAATAACAAAAATCAAACCGGCTAAAGCAGTGAAAGTGACTCTTAAATTTGACCCTTTTTTGCGGTGGGAGTTTGTGGGTTTTTGTTTTTTAAACATACGTTTATACATTCACCTGCACATTTATCACATTCTTGACGTGTGCTCGGGAAAGATCTTTTGAATTTCATGATTAGCCATTATCTACTCACTGCTGGATGAAGGCCTCACCACTGCACATTGCTACTGCTCCTTGTCGATCATCTCCTGAACATCAGTTGATCTTATTGCTCTACCTCCATGGTAGTCATTTTCGCTGGCGATTTCCCTCCGTGGCTGCCATTTGTCAAAAGTGAATCAGCTGCCATTCCTGCTCGCAATGTACTCTGTCCAAACCCAAACACTTTTCTTAACATCTTGTCACGGTGGCGAGATGTTAACTACCTCGCCTGGTATACAGGAGGTCGTGGATTTGATCCCGACCCTGACGCCTGCTGTATATTTGGAGTTTGGATGCTCTCCCCATGGTTGCGTGGATTTTTCTCTGGGTCCTCCAGTTTTTCCCTCCACATTTAGAAACATGCGTTTAAGAGTATTTGGCTGTTATACATTTCCACGTAATAAGCCACTTCATTGAGCTATCATTCGCGGCCAGGTTACTACTGAAAAACACCTATATAGCTCAGTGGGTCTTATCTGGTAAAATAAAAATAGTTTAGTTTTTAAAATTATGCTTTTAATTTGCATGCATTCCCTGACCAAATCAACCAAGGTTTGCACAAATAATGGATGAAAATTCAATACTGAGCTTAGTTCTGTCACTCAGCCAATAGTTCTCACTGGTTTAAATAATAAAAAAAAAAGACTGATGTGTGGCTAAAGAGCTCGGAACAGCTATGGTAAAAATAAGTTAATCTATCGGGTTTTAGGGGGACATCTGGAAAAACCTCGATACAGAAGTGACAGAGGTGCATAGCATGCATATTGCTGCCCTGGGAGCCATACAAGAAGCAGGTATGGCTGATTGTTGCTTAGCAGTTGTCACAAATCAACTTCAAAAATCCAAAATCTACCTAGAAACCTTACACACCATACTCTCGGTTTGTATTAATAGTAGTTATAATTGTAAAGTATTATTTATAATTACTACTTCAATTATACACTAATATGGTAACTTGTAGTAATGTTCATTAAGACCTATTTAGATTTAAGTAATTGTCAGATTTTGCATCAAATGATCAAGTAATATACACAGTGTAGAGTAAATACCAGCAGCTGCTAAAGAACATAAGTGAAGTTGGAACTAGCTGAGTTGATTCTCTGCATGGGAAATTAAATAGTTAAATTTGAGACTGACTACTGGAAACCGAGTGGTTCACGTAAGAGAGCTGTGCCTAAATAGAGGCATGTCGTTATTTCGTTACATCAGATGCCAAAGCACTAAATATCGACAAGCGTGAGCAAGAAAACTCTGCTCAAGATAGATCACAGCGGAAGTATCTCGGCTCCATCGCACATCCCTCATGGCACAGGAGGCCTGTGACTAATAACATGAAGATTGGTGGGAACATGCAGATGTCACCAGTTGCCAGATCATGCTCCCTCAGCAGAAGCCCCCTCACTCTGCTGTCCGGATATGGAACTGCCTCCCTGAACACGTCGGCAAAATCACAGAATCTGGTCTTCAGGCCTTCAAATGCCCAGCACATGGACATTTTCACCACACACCTTGCAGGACTGTCTTTGAGTTGAAGTGAACCAATGATTATGCCGATTAGATGTACTGTCTGATATGGCTTTTGTTCACAATTGCACCAAAAAATGAAATGAAAATGTCAAACTCCTAGCCTGCAAGGTGGCCAGGTGATGGCAGTACAGCAAACAGGTTCCTGATTTGTCTATGCATGATTTTAGAGATTTGTCATTTGATATGCATGGCTTTTTCCAAGTTCTGTTCAACCCTCAAACGCAAACATTCATTATATAGGGATTGGCAAATTTTACCATTTCAGGAACTTTGTGAAAAAGTTTTACGACCTAGTGAAGCTTTTAAGAAAAAGGACTGTATAATATGTATGGATAAATTATATTAAGCCAGATCAGCAGTTTGGTGCAAGTGGGTGCTTGCTGGTGTGTATTTGTCACGGACAAGGCTCGATTATCAACTCACTACTCTATAGGATGTCAGCCAAAAAGATTACAAAGCTGCAGCGTGTACACAATTCTTTGGCACGTGTCATGACAGGTACTGCAAGGTGTGACCTTGTCTGTCCAGTGCTCGCTGAGCTGCATTGCCTTACAGGTGCCAAACGAACACATTATAAGGTCACACTCATTACACATAAAGTGCTTGCCACAAATGAACCAAAATACCTTGCTGATTTCATCAAGGAGCGTATACCATCACATCTGTTCATCCTCGCAGTGGCTTCAGGCTGGCCATCGAACAAAGACGGTCACTGCATCACACACTTTCAGATGCGCTTCTGCGGCCACTTGGAACGCTGTTCCTTTCGATATTAGGAAGCTACTAGCATGCACTATTAAATCTAGATCGAAAACTCATTTCTTTAGAACTGATTTTATGTTTAGCTTGTTGTCCTTTCCCCGCACCTCCGATTAGCATGGCTGGCTACGTATAGTGGGAAAGAAGTTCAACATATTTACATACGACCCACTTTTGCCTGTGAAACTTTGCCACTTTGCAGGCCCTCAGGGGTATAGGGTAGCCAAGTTGAGAACCCCCCATGAAAAAACATTTCTGTGGCCTCTTTAAACACTATAGTCCCTCACTTACAGTGACGGCTGAGATTGCTGGTATCTTAAAGCAACCCAAAACGCAAAGAGATCTTGCAATAACGGTACCCAGCCCACGTTTCAGGATCTTGAATGCTATTGCCAATAAACTGCAACTTGAGTCACTACCTATGAGATCTTCACTCAAAACTGCTCTAGAGGAGTTGTACACCCCTAGCTGCCACTGCTATTCAGTGGCCTAAAAAATGGCTCTAGATTTTGGTGTTAAATTTATTTATGTAGTTTTTTGTAAAAAATTCGGTCACAGTCCCTATGATCACTGTTACATTGCATTTATGGCTTTTATTTTGGTGATTTCGAAAACGTTTTTTTGTTTTGGCCATGTTTTGTTTATTGTAGTACGGAGTTAGGCTGATGGCCTTAATCTTAGTTGTCTTGTGGTTGTTGTTGTTATTTGACTTGCATTCCACTGGGATTTTTGCACACAGCGTTGGTGTACGGTGCTATTTCAGGAATATTTTGATGTTTTTTTTCCTGGATTTTTCTGTTTGCACAGTCACACATAGTCACTTTAACATGTTTTCTTGTTCATGTTTTTGTTTGTTGCGGTTGCACCCGATTCAAGAGCCGAATGGCTCACAGGGCTATACCAAATAAATGAACTATGTTTCCCAAGCTGCCCACCGACGTGAACTTTAACCTTCTTCAAAAAGAAAACGGCCATTAAAATCACGGTCAAAAACTTCGAGTGACATCACTCCCATACACGGCCATGCATCATTGTGGCGGTGTCAATATGGCATCGATAGCACAAGACCCTGACAGTGATTATATATATAAAAAAATGTTCTCAATTAATAAGCTTTAATCTCGTGTCACATATGCCGGGACTCACAGCCTCGTTACGTATCCTACAGGAGCTATCAGTATATTGGGTCACATCTTGTTTTAACTTAAACATGGACAATCAAATACTGCAACATGCACACTATTCATTCATGTCCATAAATATATTTTAAAAATATGCTTGTGGACCTATTTGCCCCAAAAAGGTTAGACAAGGATGGGCCAAGAAACGCACATGCCGAGGAAGGATTTCAGAAGTAACATCATGGTCATTTTAGTGATCGTCATCATCATCAGTCTTGTATCGAGTTATTCATGTACAACAGCTCTAATGATGCACATCAGGCAAGTGAAGATGCCTACTAGCAGCCACAACGTACAAAAGCGCTTACCACCACACCGCACAGGGAAGAGATGTCAGAGAATTACTTAGGTCGGAAATATTGTTTTGTTAAATCTTGCTGACGTTTTTGGTTGCAACCACAAGCAGACCTAGCACAGATGGACTTCGGCCAATTTTCTTCCCCCCCCCCCCTCTTTTCCGTGTATTGCTGATTGCCCAAACTTCTCGTGTGGTAGGGCTATTTTTAATGCGTTTTTTTATTCCATGTAAGCATAAAGGGAGACAACCCTCCAGCAGACAGACCTGAAGGACACTCAGTGTTGCGCACTAAGCAAGTTATCTCATATGTCTTAGCCCAAGCAATTAGGAGGTAAAGTGTATCTCCTCTATGCTACTTTGTCATTTAATTTGAAATAATGTTTTATGCTGCGTCGACTTAAGGAAGGTTACCTCTGGGTGAAGAGAATAAATGACAGAAAAATGTTGCGTCGCATAGACTGGTGAAAATTCAGTACAATTATGCGCGAGTACACTATACACTTACGACAATTACAAACCACAACTCATAAGGTTTCTAGATCTTCTTGCCATCTAATGCAACAATTTTATACCAATGTTTTACTTTCTCAACAATAAATGTGCATCAGTCAGGTCGGTGAGAGAAGCGGCAATTTTAAAAGGCAAGTTCCTAGAGAGAGGGTGATTGTGAAGAGTGAGAGTAAATGATATTGAAGAAAGAGTAAGAGATGAATAAGAGTACTATTTATAAGCGTCTCCTTGAAAACATCAACATAGGGATCTCTCCCCAGACAGAAGCATGTGCTGGGGAATGGCCCAGTAAGAGACACCACAGGACCTATCAAGTTGTCGACCGAGTAAGCCTCTATTACTTCATTACACTAAGTTCGTGAGCTGCTAGTGTATTCAGAGACATACATAGGGCCTTTTGAAAACTCATTTATTTAGACATTTTTTTGTGTTTAGTTTATTGTCCTTCCTCCGCAACCTCCGACTAGCAGTTGTCGATGTACGGTGCAAAAGTTTAACGTATAAAGTGTGTAAACGTTAAGAGTTAAAGTACATTGCATACAATGGGTGTTTGTGTGGTCATTAGAAACTATTCTGAGATATATTCTTGGTTCTTTCTTACGTGACTTTACCGAAAGAACCAAGAATATACATCCCTGCAGTCACGAAAGCTTTAAATCAAAATTTATTCTGAGATAATTGAATTCACCAACCATGAGAATGTGTTTTTACTATGGTTGGCCACTGTTGAGACATATCTAATCGACGCTCTGCGCCAACCAAGCATCCCGAAGTCCACAATTAAAATGTCACTGTTTGGACTAGCACTAATGACTAGAATATGAAGTCAATTATCATCCTTTTAAATGCTTGAATGAAAGTGAAACTGATGTACACCAATGCTAGCCACAATCACCACCCTCCAATGACATGAAGTGGAATATCAGCAACATAAACCAAACTCCATTCATCGTCTTCAATTTAAGATTATCTCCCTATAATCCTCAAGGCCGTTTTACTGAAACGTCAAGATCTTCCTTTCCTCTGAGTGGCAGTAAAAAAGAAAATTCAATCTTGTTTTTTCTTAAACGAACCTGCTGCTGACTGTGCTGACCACGCAAGTCAGCAGCACGTTGAGGTTATAAACATAGACGTTACCTCCATCCCTGTAATGAGCTGCTCAATCTCCGTGTCAGGAGTGATCCAGCAGGTGAGGAGCGTCTGTGCGTTAACGCCTCCTTCCTTGCTCGACTTGGCCTCGAGGTTGACTTGCTTCCTTCTTGCCCTCTCTTCCACACTCATGTCTTTCGGACGGAGATCTTGCACTTCCGTAATTTCTGTAAGTTCCTTTAGGAGGAGGTCCCCCTCGGGAGACACATCTGTGCCAATGCTTAAGGCCACACCCTCTCGATTGTTAAAAAAATAATTTAATTCTGATGAAGCTGCAAGGCCTTCTTCGGGTTTAACGTTTGTTCCAGCAGACTTATTTTGCATACTTTCTGTTAAGCTCGAGCCATTTTCATAACTTTGCGTGTGCTCATCCGAGGACGTTTCTTTACATCCGTTAACGGTGCCTTCATTGCAAAATGATCCTTGTTTACACACACAAACTTCAATGGTCGATGAAGAGCTAAAGTCGTTTGCCGTTTCAAGCTTGATCACAGCTCCACGAGTCTGCTGTTTGCAAGAGTTAGATTTGTCATTAGGCCCTGGGCTGCAGGCAGCAGATTTTTCCTCCGGCTTGGATGCCCGCTTCTTATAACCCTTCCAGAACTTGCCCAGTTTGCGGTTCCGCTCTGCAGCCCCCCTGAAAAATCATCCCAATGCATTCACAACGGTTCATCAGTGTTGCAATACTCTTTGCGGGTTTTCTGTATGCGTATGTACTGTACAACCGAGACATGGCAGGGCCAGCCCAGTGCGGTAGGCAGCACAAGCTGCTCGATGCCAACTTCGCAATGAGTCAGTTGACATTCACGTGATTTTTTTTTGTTTACACAATTACTGAGCACAGACCCAAAACACCAAGCAGGCAGCAGCAAGCAGCAATATCAAAATTGTAGCCTTACATGCATGGTGAGGGTGAAATCACTAGGCACTTGTGCCAAGTTTCATATAAGTTTACAATTGCATATATAAAAAATTACACATCTCACTGAATCTCAAGACTCTATAGGGGAGGTCAATGGCAAAACGGAGTGGACTGGAGTCATACAACGGAACGAGACATTTTAATGTAGACGCGGAAGCTCGGTGGTAGATGGTGTCACAATAACCAAATATGGGCAGGATGGTAACATTAACTATATTCAGGCAGAGTCGAGGTGGGGTAAAGCCTTTGTTTTTGTATAGGAATCCAATCATGTGTTTTTTATTTCATTGGCCATGTGATCAATGTGGGTCTTGAGAGACAGTTTTTCTGTGCAAGAGCAAGCTATGCTGAAATGCAAGAGCATGACCACCATTCTCGGCACTGCATTTGTATATGTTTCTTCTCATCCCTTCTAGCTATGTCAAACGTAGACGGATTGATTGAAAAGCAATGCACAAATTTAACGCTGAATCAACCTTCAAATTCCTTGTACTGTAGTTATAACCGAACGGCTCTCACCTCGTGTTGACGGCAGATGAATCGATGCCAAACACCCTCAGGCCAAACTGCATGGAGAGATAGGAGCTTAGGTATCCTTTTCCAGAGCCGAGGTCTATCACCTGTCGCAAAGAGTCAAGGCAATAAACAACAGAATGCCACATCAGCGTATTGGAGCCTTAGCATTAGAGCAATGTGACCTCAGACCACTGGTTTTTGTCGAGTACATAAATAACACGCAATTATCACTTTAGCTTGGTAATTAGAAAGTAATTAACACAGCCTTAAAAGCAGTGGTGGATCATTCGATAGAAAATTGTCTATAAAGTGGGTCGATTCAACAAGGTGACATCAATATGATCGATAGCTACACAAGCATAGTACCTGTTGTTAGCTAATAACATTTCCCAGTTGTGTTGTTTAATTGAAAACATTAAGATGTGCAGTGACCATTTCTGTATGTGAAGGAACAATCATTTTTCTGTCTTTAACCCAATTAAATTCATATTGTGTCATGTCATGACACAATGCCATCTGAAACACTCACAGAAAGCAGTAAATCACCTTGTGTCAGATAATAACCCCAGAAAATGTAAATCATAAAACTACTTCGGAGGCCCCTTCAGTAGCCCATTTCTCAAAGCTAGGTGGCATTCCTTATCTGCACTGCCAAGAGTTTTCATCATCATCAGCCATGATAAATCCGCTGCTGGATGTGCGTCTCCCCAAGCCGTTGCCATCCCTCATGATCCCACGATGCCACAATTTATCTTAATCCTGCAAACAAGCTGAACTCATTCGCGACATTTCTTTGGTGGTCATAGCGCTGGGGTATTTTACATCCTACGGCTGCCATTCAATCACCATCCTCATCCATCTGCCATGCGTCTTGGCAAAGCCCACTTTCTTTCATTAAAACATTATGACACGTGTTATTTGCATTTGTTCTCTGATCCACGTGTTCTTCTTTCTCTCTCTGTATGGTAATCTTCATCATGCGGCTCGTCATGATTCATTGTGTACGTTTAAGCTTTTCTTCCGGGTTAAATATTATCAAATTGTAGTGAGCGACTTCCGAGACACAACGTGTAGAGGGCTTCTCATTTATTCTCACGCTTCAGGCACAATCACTGGGCAACAAACACATATACACGGCTACGCATAGCCGACCCATTTACACAGCCCCATCGTCGGCGTCTAACTTTTTAGCTGGCTGACTAACATAGCGACGACGACGGGAGCCGTGCAGAGGATTGGCCACGCGACTGACGATGAAGAGAGATGACGGCGAAGACAGTGACAGCAGCAAAGACCCGGGACCCCACAACAGCCCCGAACCTTCGGTCACGTCCCCCTTATATACTTCCCGGCGTGGGTCACGTGATTGGGTCCCAATCACGTGACCCACCTAGCCCCTCTGTCAACTCAACCCGTCACATGTCCTCCCGGGTAAACCAGAGTGCCATGGCCTCACATAACCCTATCCTTTGGTCGGCACCCACACACCCTGTCCTGTGGGGTCGGCACTGCACTTAAAGCGTGGTGCCATCCAGCGCGATTATTATTCAGTGCACACCGTGCCCCTCTAGGGCCGGTACTACATCCACAGCATGGTGACATCAAGCGATGTCACTACAAATGTAATGGTGAATTGATATTAATTTTGTCAGGAAAGAGACATTGAGGCAGAAACTCTAATTTTCCAAGGCATATTGGTTATGAATGACCAAAATGAAGGCCAGAGACACGATTTTTTAAAACATACCACTTTTATATTCCTCATGGTTAATTTGATTTAAGCCTCCTTTTACTCATCATAGGCCAATATAAAATGCTTATTCTGTACCCTTTGAATATAAATTATTATATCAAGTCTCTATATCACCTATAAATACCTTTGTGAAGTGCAAGACCAAATATTGCTGCATGCAAAAGGACAAGGTTTTGTTACAGGCAAAACAGCTGACCTGGCTTCCAAACACAAAAGATATCACCATGAACAACTCAGCCCCACATAATCTATGGTGTGACCCCTACGTGATGTTTACCTGTGATACATTGCATTTCAGTGCCAGCGTTACCACCATTCTGGACATCAGCTCCACCTCGTGTGACTTCTTGGTGCTCATGAAGTCCTCAGGTCTGACTGGAATACCTACACAAGCAGACCATACAAGCAGAATTGACCACCAAACTGGCATTTGAGCTTGTCACCTTCAGAGTTTGGTGTGCCACAGCACAGATGAAAGTGGATTAATTAGTGTGTCGTCTGCTATAACGTTAACCACAATTTACCTTTACAAAAACATTATTTGAATAATGTCATGAAACTATATGCACATTTAGCTCTAACCACATTACAATTTAAAAGTATTATTCCGAAATAGTTGCAATTTATAATTTATAAGCAAACTACTCTACATTTCCACAGTCACTCGTGTGTCCTTCAACAAAATGCGTAACCTTAGAGTCATCATTGATTTTGAGCTCCTGTTCCCTTCCCACTCCCACGTATCTCAACTCCACAGGACCTCAACCCTTGCCCCAGATGGCCTTCATTACATCATGACTCAACTATGACATCTGTGTCTTCTAGGGCCTCCCCAAATCCCTTACGCTCCGAATCCAATGGATAAAAAACAAGCCACCACCACGCTTCTCACCTACACATGCAAATACAATCACATCTCCCCAGGACTCTGATCCTTACATTGACTCCAGGCCCGAAAGAACGTAAAGATCGTTCTAACAATCCTTCATGTGCTCGCCCCTGCCTATACTTCTCCCCTCTCATCTTGCTCTACACTGCTTCTCTTGCTCTCCACTGTGAAAGCCCTAAGGTAACGTGGCTTTATGAGGGGGTCACTCCTGTGGTGTGGAACTCGCAAGCCCTGACAATTAATTCATGCTGCCAAATCCTGTGTGTACTCTGCTCCTGTGCCTATGATTGCCTCCTCTTAAAAAAAACCCCGAATGTCTTCATTTTCTTCGTGAAGCACCATGTCCCACTAGTCTGTTCAGTGCCTTGAGAGGCTGTTGCACTTAGACACTGTACACATCTAAAGTGGATTGCAATTAAATTGTATCCCTTATAAACGATCAAAAGTAAATTTGCTAATGAAGACAAGAGCTGGTTAACTCTTTAAAAACCATGCTGCTGTATATTGCCCAAAATGGGGTACAATTAAGAGTAATTGTGCATGAACGTACATGGAACCATTTGGCTCGGTTGAATCGATAGGTAAACGTAATGTACACACAATACACAGTGCACAGGCAACAACCGTTAGGGGGGCCCTCCTCTTTTTGGGGACATTCATTTAGAACGATTCAACACAGGACTGCAAATCCAGCATGCTAGCCATCGCAGCCGCCTGCTCTAAAAAATCCGCCGTGTCAATGACTCAACATGTCAAACGTTGTCCCTGTGCGGGTGATAATACATCACACGAACGCTGCAATAGCTTGTGCTCAAATAGAGAGTCAAGGACACTTCGAAGTGCAAATGTGGTCAGCAACTTAAAACAACAGAACATCATTCCCCAGAACATTTCCTCTAAACATTGCTATGCCATCATAAGGCATAATCACATCATCATCACAGCACTGTTTAGTAGCCTATAAAACTTTTATTTTCCTCCATAAGGCATCACATAATCAGTGTCCAGTACAGTATCCTATACATTGCTATTCCACCATAAGGGATCATCATATCATCACCACAGTCCTGTATAGTAGCCTATAAAAAAATTGCTATTCCATGATAAGGCATCATCAAATCATAATCATCATCACAGCCCTGTGTAGTCACTCACCGACTGATCCGTCAGCGCCAAACATGGTGAAGGCCTCATCCGTCGACACGCAGATGCCCAGGCCAGGCAGTGTGTGGGACTGTGCCTCGTGAAGGAAGTGCTCGATATCCATTACGGCAGAGCTCGTTCCGCCAATTCCCTGCGCTAAAACAACACCAACAACTAATGACTTCGCTCTTCATGGCTGCTAATTAAATAAATTTTTGCCAAAAACGTGCAGCTTCAAAGAAGAAAAATGACCCAGGTGAAATAAATTATTCCCAAGCTGAAAGACACTACAGTTAAACGTCTGACTGCAGACATTGATTTATTATCAGTCCATAAATATATGCATGTATTTAGATTTAATTAAACAAAATGTATTGTTGTAGCCAGAAATTTAAAGCAAAAATTGCAAATTGAATATCTAACCAACTTGTGAAAAAAAAAAGCAGAAATGAGCAACGTTTTTAATCTTTACAAAATGCGTCATATTAATGTAGCGTATTGCGTGACACAGAGCCTATTAATTAAAGTGAGATGCATAATAAAACATACCATCTAACGAGACTATAGATACAAAACCAGGATGTGTGTAGAGGGCAAGTAGCAGTAAATGTAAATATCGTGGGCTCAGGTTCACCAAAACGCTGGCTGAGTCAAAAGCCAAATGTATCGATAGCTTAAAGAGTCTCAGAACATAATTTGACTTTTGTATGTGTGTATATTGAACTTATGTCGCACCATATGTGGCCTTCCATGCTAATCGCTTTTCATACTGAACCACAGGTCCCTTTTAAATATCAGCAGAACATTGATGCAGAACTCAATACGTCAAATGAAAAGTTGGTAGCCATCTCAGATGAACTTATTATTCAAAATACAATCAACAAAAATGGTGCGTTAAGTAACATTTAGGTATCGGACGACATGACCACAATTAAGCAGGAGTCTTAAATTCCTGCTCCAAATGACGCCAATTCAAAACTATTGGTTTGATTTTAAAAGTTATTAATGTGACATCCCAAAATATACATCTAAACATCAGCTAAAAGCAGAAAAGTTATTCGAATGAACAATACCTTGCTGATTTCAAGGAGCGTAAACCATCATGAAAATTCCGGTCATCCTCGCAGCAGCTTTTGGCTAACCATCGAACAAAGAGGGTCACTGCATCACGTGCTAGCAGATGCGCTTCTGCGACCATCTGGAACACTCTTCCTTCCCATATTAGGAAGCCACTGGAGCTATGCACATTTAAATCTACATTGAAAACGAATTTCTTTAGAACTGCTTTTTGTGTTTAGTTTGTTGTCCTTCAATCGCACCTCTGATTAGCACGGTTGACTACATACGGCGCAAAAGACAGAAGTTCAACATACATACGGAATGCAATTGCAGCCTTTTTGGGGTCTTAGCAATCCAGCGTCATGTGGCTCTCCTTGTAAAACAAATGTATGTTCCACCACTGAAGACAGAACCACCCGTGGATGTGTGTCCCACTCCTAACTTATTTGAGCATGCCTCTTTGGAATGTATAACCTCTAATTGTGTGAATCAAGCCGTGTTTACCTGTTTCACAACTACGTTGTTGCTCTTAATAATGGATCGAATTAAACTATGGGTTATACTCACTCAGAAATCAACTGTTGGTTTTCAAGGTTAATTTCAACAATACATCCTTTGCATATCAGCGTGAGAAGATTGAAATTTCACTGTTGCCTTTACATAGAGCACAACATTACAATTTCCGAAAAATATGGCCAGTCATATTTTTTTAAAATTCAGTTGTGGATATTTTTCAAAATCTGAGAGACGGCAAAAGAGACCAGCACAAAAATGCCTATTATTGCAAATAAAAGCATAAAGTTTGTTTTACGTTATTACTGGACAGCTGCAGGGATAATCAGAATTAGAATACAGTATGTATTTATCCTGGAGAAATCCGATGAGCTATTAAGCTATTTTTCACAGACAGATGTCCAGTAGGGGAGGGTCAGAAAGTTACAACAATGAAAACAAAAAAAGCAAGTCACAATAAATAAATTTTTATTTTACCATGTAAAGCCCACTGGGCTATTCTTTTTCAGAATCGACCTGGCCACAAATGATAGCTTTACGAAGTGGCATAACATATGAAAATTTATAGCAGCCAAATACTCTCAACCCACGTTTCTAACATGTCACTGGTGCCTTGGCAAGCATTGTAAACACTTTGGCTTTTTCCAGCTACAGCATTCATTTGCAAAATGTGGCTTAGAAACCCCAGTGGTGTTTACTTAAAAGAGGGCAGGTGTAAATAATTAACATGTTAATGTATCGCGCATGTACATGCCTGGCAGCAGCCCTCTTAGGAATTCAGCCATGCTGCAGGATAGAGAAAGTAATTTCAAACCCCCTACTTGTAATGCGCTCTCTGTGTGGGTTTTTCCATTTACCATGCAAATGAAATGCAATCGAAGTTGATTGAGTACAGTGTTATTTTTAAAGGATTAGATGTGTTCCTATTACAGTACTGTTCGTGTTTGTTTCATTGGTGTGTACGTTTTGATGTAATGTACACGTGTAGGATAGTGGTGGCAGTGTGTTATCATTTTTTTCTACAAATTTCCTTTAAAATATAATTAAGAATTTGTTATTTGCAAGTTTTATTCGAACCTGAAAATGTAACTATAATGAACATAATTTCCATAATAATAGGGCTTTTCCGCTTAATTTCCCCCATAACAAGAAGCCCTAAGTCTCATAACTGATTTCCAGAAGAGTCTTGCTTTAGAAGGATATTTGACCAAGCCATTAACGAGCATGTTTGGGTTATGTGCAAAACAAGAGTACCCATAGAAATCACAAGCATAATAGGTTAACACTCAAACTTCACAGAAATAGGCAGCTGACTAATTGGGTGCAATGCCTCTTATACAGACACTTTGTCTTTGAACATGTGTCTCAACATGCATAATCTCAGTGTGATTGATGTCTTGAATTCATATCAAAATCAAAGTCTTCTTCACAACTTCTTTATTAAATATGAGAAGCTTGAATAAAGAATTTTCATGAAAACCTAATTTTAAGATAGACAGTATATTGAACAGTACTGACATGTGCTTACACATTTTCTGCATCCCAGTGTAGTATTTTCAGACTGAAAGCTACATAGAGAACTGTACCGTCTCTGTTGCTGATTTTGTCCCATGTTTAAATCAGTTGTAAGAACCAAGTGAACGTTCACTGGGAGAACATGTCTCAAGGTGCCCTACATAAATGCCATTAACAAATATGTATTCAAGCTTAAAGCTTTCGTGACTGCAGGAAATTCACATTATTTGGGTCTTTCGGCAAAGTCACGTAGATAGGTTCATAGAAAATAACAAAAAAATAACAAAAAAAACTACGACGTTTCGATCACAACACAAGCAATCGTCATCAGGAGGAAAAAAGACGATCGCTTGTGTTGTGATCAAAACGTCGTCGTTTTCCAACGGTTTTACCTAACTTGATTCCTGTGTCGTGGTCAAATCTTGTAATCACAATTTAGTCTACTTCCTGTTGTCTAATCAATTCCAAATTTTGCACACGTACTCAGATCCGGTGACAATGCATGCCTGTATCAAAATCGGCATCAATTAATTCGCTACTTTAAAGCAATTTACATTTGGTATGGACGCCTTATTAATTATATATTTTTGTGCAGATCAAAAACGCCGCGGCCCCTAAACTGTCGAATCGCCTCGCCCAAGAAGCAGGTGCCGTGTGTCTCTGACGCGCCGGATCCGTGATGAACGAGTTACGGGCACCATCACTCCACACACAAAAAAAGTAGTACATTGAAAATTCATTTATAAAAGAACCGATTACAGTGGTACCTCGGAGATCGAACGCTCCAGAGCTCGAAAAATTCGGTGATCGAACAAAATTTTCGACCATTTTTTGACCCGGACATCGAACAAAAAATTCGGAGGTCAAACAACTGGAAAAACCTGTTTGGGGCCGAGACGCGTAGCCAGAGCGACCGAGAAAAAGGCGAATGAACCAGTTTACACGTAGCTCTCGTCCTTTATCACTGTAAAGTTCCTACCCCCCCCAATACCACTCCTCTCATCCAGCCCATGGACCAACAGGTAATTTCAAACTTTTAAAAAGACTCTACACAAAAGCCCTTTTTCAAAGGTGGCAAAATAGGCTGAGTTACACAATTTGTATAAAAAAATATCATCCAGATAAGGCAGTAGCCAGCAGAGCAGGCGATTTTTATAATGATAATGCATTGAGTAATTTCAGAAACATCTTAAAACGGAGGCAGAAACAATCCTCTCTTGATCAGTTTTTAGTAAAAGGGCCCTCAAGTGAATCACAGTGCTCGAAAAAAGGCAAAGTAAAGAAAGAACCCCAGAAGGGCAGTTACCCAACGTGTTTATGAAGGGGGACTCCCCTTCCAAGCAACACCGACACCTCCTCACCATCTTCCACTCAAGCCATCCACTCTCCTTACTACAGGTAAAGTGAAGTTCAATGTTCATTTATATTCTATTAATTATAACTGTGTTTCTTGTTTTTTTGTATGCTTTTACGTACTGTACTGTACTTTAATATTGTAAACTGTGTAAAAATGGCCCATAATAGGAGCATCCTTGGGTGGGGAACCAATTAATGCTATTTCCATTCATTCTTAAGGGGAAAATTGATTCGGTGTTCGAACAATTCGGTGTTCGAACACGGTTTTGGAACGAATTAAGTTGGATCTCCGAGGTAACAGTGTATTTCAAGTAAGCGTTGATGTGGGAGCAGGCGCCGCATCATTGACGTACTTGTCGAGGGTGAGTTAAACGAAGTTGTGAATAAAACCGTTGTTTTAAAAAAAAAAACTTTCTACGTGACTTTACCGAAAGACGCAATGGCCTACTCTTGCTTAATAATAGTATTAAAAATATCGTGCACTATAATGTAAGTACATTCCACATTCAAATTGCTTTGAATTAAATTGGCTATAAATAAGTGAACTCAATGCCAATTATGGATTGAGCCCACTATATTTGCTTTCCTTTGGAGTGGTCGTTGTGTGTATGTTGAACTTCTTTCGCACCGTACGTGGCCAACCGTGCTAATCGGAGGTGTGATTCATTTGAATTTCTGCCCACCAACAGAAATATCTCACTCCTGCTGCACATTTCCCCCATAAGGCAATTATCTGGTGCATTCCGATGGGACTTTGGGTTGTCACAAAAAACAAATACAGACACAAAAGAGAATATGTAAACAGAATAAAATAATAAAATACCCGTCCGGGGATTACAAACTATAACAATCATATTGAAATAATGACCGCGAAAATTACAAATCCTGCCCTGCAACAATTTGGCCCTTATTAATTGTAATTCTCAAATTGATGCTTTAACAAAACCCCACCAGCCTCAGCGGTCAAAACGTGCACTAATTTGTGAACGAATTAATCACGATAAATCACACTTAAGAAAGGCACCAATTGCTCAATGAAACACAATAAACTGCACTTCAAACACGTGCTTTGACTAGTCCTGTGTTCATGAAACAAAGTAGTCGTAGTAACAATTTAAACTCAAAATATGCTCGCCCGCGCAAAACCCGGCCGCAATAAACAATGATCTGCACGATGAAAAAGATGACCGAAATTTACAGCGAAATAAATAGAAGCACGATAAACGAAAGACTCGCAATTTAAACCAATTTTGATTCGCATTAGAGCATCATCAAACGGACGAAGCGCCCATGCCATGAATCGCAAATTAGACAGAATGGCACCGTGAGTGAGCGAATTGCATCTGCGATCCATTATCCAATCGATCCCTTAAATGCCTCCTCGTCTGCTCGACCTCCGTGCCCTCTCCTCTACCGCTGCCCTATCGCCCCTTCTTCTTCATCATCGTATAAAAAGGCCGGCGCGCGGAAGCAGAACCCGACTCAATCAAGCAGGACCACGATGCAATTGCAGCCGGAACAGCCACAGTGAGATTCTTGGGATTCAGTGCCAATGCTTCAGGCTCAGAAAGCCAAGCGAAAGTGGTGATGCTGATGGTAGAAGGTGATAAGAGGCAGCGGACATAAATTAAGTACGATCAGGTAAGCATTCGTGCTTGCGGTGATTATCATGGGTAGCGGTGATACAGACGCCAGTTGTGGTGGTCGTGCAGTGAGTGGATGGTGACGAACAAGTACATGTGGCGATGATGCATCGTTAGTGACGGTTATGCAATGAATGCTGGGTGCTGATACAAGACAACTGAGGGCGTGGTACTAGCGGCGACGGGAGGCAGTCGTGGTAGGAGACGGTGGACGGTGGGTAGAGGGGACAGCGCTAATAGCAATGGACAGTTGATGTGGTGATACACGACTTGTGACAGGAAGGCAGTGGTGTGTGTGTGTGGTTCACACGCAGACTGGTGAGGTAACCGTGCTGTTGCAGTCGTGACAGACAGGCAGTCGTGGCGGGTGGTCATAGTCGCCTGCAACATTGACGTGTGAATGAATGAGCGGCTCCTCGTACCTCCTCCACCTTCACGCGGAGTCCCCGCTTGCCCGAGATTCATCACCTTCGAATCTCGCATCAGCAGCAGCTGCACCGTCTGGGGCTCTGCGTCTCCCAGGTATGACCTCCACAGCCCCCTGCTGTAAAACTCCACCGTGTGCGCCTCTGACACGCTCAGGTGCCGCGACACGAAGCCCCACGATCGACTCAGGGCCGCCTTTGTCTGCTGAAGCATCGGCAGCCGAGTCTCTCCGTTCTCGGACATCGTCGCCGGGACCCCCCAACCCGGCTGTGCCGCGGGAGGCCTACGCACAGGCTCCGGCGGGATTTCTAGGAATGGTGCGCGGCCGCACGCTATGGTTAAACATGGGATCTGGCTGTAATACGGCGGATAAGACCCTTGCCGATCTCGCACAGCGGCTGCGGGAGCAGTGGGTTAGGGTGCAGCGGTTGTTTGATCTGAAACGTTTTGACGGCTGAGGCTTGGTGGGGTTTTTGTTAAAGTTCGCGCGCGTTTCCTGCCGGGGTCGCCGTTGTTGACAACTCGCCGGCGCACGAGTGGGGGGCGCGCGCGTGCGTGTGCGTGCGCGAGGTCACGTGGAGCAGCTGCGTGGTGACGTCACACAGGGGAGGATTCCCGGAACATGAGAATCCCCACGTGCGTGGTGGAGTGTTGTGCGTGGTGGAGCGTTGTGCGTGGTGGAGCGTCGTGCGTGGTGGAGCGTCGTGCGTGGTGGAGCGTCGTGCGTGGTGGAGCGTCGTGCGTGGTGGAGCGTTGTGCGTGGTGGAGCGTTGTGCGTGGTGGAGCGTTGTGCGTGGTGGAGCGTTGTGCGTGGTGGAGCGTCGTGCGTGGTGGAGCGTTGTGCGTGGTGGAGTGTTGTGCGGGTCGAGTGCGCCATGTGATGTTGTGCGGGTTACCTGTAATGGCCTGTTTAGAACGTTAGTCACATTGCTTGTTGGTAATATTGCGTTGGCAGTGGTGCACAAGCACCATCAACAAAAAGGCTGGACACATTTGTCACTGACACCTAACCATGAAAATATATATCGCTAACACCCTTCTTCATAACACATTAAATCGATGTCTGCTATGGAGGACTATTTCCTGAAACGTCAACTGTGAAATATTTTACGTATTACATGTTTTTATTTAAGGCAGTGTTTTTGCATAAAATTAAATTCTCATGCATTGATCCTTTTATTTTTTTGGCTTGGGCCACGTCGTTTTCTGTCAAAATTATTGGCATCCCCTCAAGCAGCTGGCACGGTTGTCACGTTTATAAATGTGCCAATGTATTGATAAAATTCTGACCAATAAAGTTCACTGATGCCCTAAGACTTTTTTAATGACAAAATTTAACTTTGAGCTTCACCTAGCGAGCTCAGAAATCGAGTGGGCTTCATCAGATGGCTGTGCTTCAAGTACCCGCCTTTGACATTACCGACAGTCAAACGGCATGTGGCCTAAAAAGAAACATTATTTGGCGCTGCTGCGTTGGCACAAGTGCACAGGGACAAATAAAACAACTCAACAATCTAAGAATAGGGCTTTTCAAGCGAGGGCTTTACCATTCATATTCACCAGTCTTTCCTTATCAACGGTCCAAAATAAAACGCCACAGACTATATGTAGAGTACTATATTTGGCATAAAATTCGAAATCTATATCACAAGATAACGTATACAAATGTCGGTGAGAGCGTTAGCAAAATAGGTCAATAATAAGCAGATGCTGTATAAACCATTTGTATGTAGAGTAATTGTACAGCCCATTTTTTTGATCCATTGCTGGATGAGGGCTTCCTCACAACTTGCGGGCCATGAGAAATTTGACTAATTTCGCCCACGGTGGTTGATGTGTCGTACTCAAACTGTAAATGTTGTGGATTCACTCTTCAACACACCGATGGGCTAAAGTAGTGAATTATTTGTCTTTTGTCAACGTGACACTTTTTTTTGCTGATTGGCCGTGTCGGGTGGTGGAGGGTTACGACACATTTATAAATAACGCGATCTAACCCAAAAACCTTTATTATGAATGGTTGATGTGTGTTGGTGGGAGTGGGGACCCTGCAGAACATTGTCGTTTGCTGCACTGCCCACAACGCCTGTTGCAGATGGATCTTGCGCACGGTGGTTTATCATCCAAGCGCAACCCTACTTGGCTTATATATTTGACAATATTTGGTACACTGGGTTATTTGTTCACAGGCATAAGCCATCTTCGGTAAAAAAAAAAAATTCTATAAAGCCAACAGTACAGTGGTGGGAGCTAAAAGTCCTGCATATCGGGCCGGGTACCTGTGGGAACCCGCGCGTCTGGTCGAAACGCAGCCACTGTAACGGCTTGTAGTTCGGGTCATATCTGGTGACTCAAGGGTGACCCGCCCAATTTCTAGATGAACATTTTCTATAGATTGGGCAGTACTACATTTCGTACCGTTTTTGGACAGTGCTCGCAGGGTCCGAGTGTGCGTGTTTAGAGCCGAAGTGAATACGCGGTCGAGTTGAGTTGATGGCTTACCAGACCTGTGAGATCTTGACCTTAAAGCTTTCGTGACTGCAGGAATTCGTACTACGTATGAATACGGTGGGGTTTTTTTTTTTTTGAAAATTTGCTGGTTTATCCAGGATGTTTCTGTTGCGCGTCGTCGCTTTAAGATGTTTCTCTGTTCATATTTTGTTTGTTGCGGTTGCACCCGACTCAAGACCGGCATGGCTCACAGGGCTATACCTAATAAATGAAACTTGAAAAACTTGAACGTGCCGTTATCGAAAGACCCAAAGAGCAGACCTGTAAGCTTAATTTAGTTCTTTTTTTCACCATTTTTTTTTAAATGTCGACTGATGTCAAACAAATGTCAGAGCAGGGTTGAAATTGTGTGGAGGATACATCTTGTGATGGGTAAATCGGAATTTGACAAGAACTTGAAGCGGGGACATTTTCAACTGAATTTTCATAAAGCACAACTTTCTACACAAATTGCTACATAACAGCCACTCTGTAGATATATGGTTATATATATATTTTTTATTTGTGCCATTTGTGGTAAACTCTTTAAAATTCATATTTATGAGCAGATTTTTTTTTATTTGGTAGTTAGTGCTTTAAAACTGCTGGAATCGTCCAAGTATCCAATTGGAGGTATAAAAAATGTGCACGATCCGGTTGCAGGTCTAATTAAAGTGGGTCACGACGTGGGTAAGTTGGCAATGCTAAAATGGGTTGCTCGGTCGGGTCCGGTAATCACAGGTGAAAAAATTATTACCGCAGGACTAGTGGAAGGTTTTTACAATGTTACATGCAATATAAAATTGGTAAATTGTAATACATGTAAATATAGAAATGCAATATGTAGAATTAACGGATGTTAATTAGACACCTCTTCAACATGAGAGGAACCACCAATCGAATGTGGTCAAATAAATATGCAATATGCCACCTTCACATCTGTTCCTCTATGAAAAATGAAATGCGTGTTTAACACATCCCATCAGTGCACGTAATCTTCTAAAAGTTTAATTTCAGCAGCATTGGTTCAACACAAGCAAGTACTATTTATCTTTGCATGTTGAACTTGGCACCGTACGTAGTCAACCGTGCTAATCGGAGATGCGAAGAGTAAGAAGGTAGTGTTTCTAAAGAGTGAAGAGTAAGTAGGAGCAAGTTGTGAAGAATGCATACTTCACTTGTGTCTGCAAATGCTTTTTGGAACATTACAGTGGCAAAGCCTAAACAGACTTTTACTAACCATATGATCCAGACTTAAAATTGCATTTCTATCGTTTTTATTTAAAAGGATAACCAAATTGGCTCGTGTTGAAATTTAAAGCGCACGTAACTTTTTATGTATTGTCACATGGGTCCCAGAACGTTATGCATTTGGACTGCATGAAGCCTTCACAATGAAAAGTAATGCTGGATCACATGGATATAGTTTAACTGAGCATGACCAGCCAACAATGTGTTCTGCAAAAGTATGTGTCACATGCCGCCTTGCTCAGGATCATGCTTTGGTAGCATTCCTGCTCAGTGATCACAAGGTTAATGTAAATTGGATAATACCCATGCTGAATGTGAAATGAGACACTGCGAAAATGAAAAAATAAACTTGGTTTTCTATAGCGCAATTTGCTCAAGGCGTTTTACATGAAGCTTAAGTTACGGAGAAAGCTTTTAAAAACAGGTGAGTTTTAAGATATGATTTGAAGGGTAACAGACACAGATTCCCAAATGGACTGAAGAAGGAAATTCCACAATGGCGGAGCCTGGGTGCAAAAAACTCTCTGTCTCATAGAACAAAGGCTGGTCTTTAGGTTAACGAGTAGACCAGAATCAGCAGATCTTAGTTTTCTCAGTGGAATATATAGCTTAAGCAGATCGATGAGATTTGGGAGCCACCTCCCGTTAAGGCCTTAAACGTGAAGAAGAACCTTCAAGACGATTCTGTACTTTATAGGGAGCCAGTGCAGGGGGGAAAGGGTAATACGGTCACACGCTTTACATTTAAAACCTGGGCAGCTGCGTTTGTAGTCTATTTAAAACACTTTTAGAAACGCCAGCAAAGGAAGGCATTTCAGTAATCCAACCTTGATGAAATGAGGGTATGCACCAGCCTATCGGCATCAGGAAGGAACAGCATAGGGTCTTAGCTGAGCTATGTTGCGTGAATGGGGGGGGAAATGCGTTTTGTGTAATTATACATACGTGGGCCTCAAATTAAAACTGAGGTCTCGGATAACTCCCAAGTTTCTGGCCTCAGATGAAGACCGGATTACAGTTCCCTCTATGGCCATACTAAAACCATACAATTTACACTTGATATGGAGAGCCCAACAAGAGAAATATTTTCCAGGAAGTTTGCTCCGTCAAATGTATTCAACTGTAATATGAGGGTGTTACGTCAACATTTTTTCGTGCTCAAGCAGACTCAGAATTTGCTTTAAGAAAAATGTCAAGTGAAAATGTGTCCATTCTCAAGCAGGTGTTAGGAAAAGATCATCCCTATTGTTGACCATGAACCATTCAACAGTGGACAAGCAGTCGACAGTGCCCTGGACTTGAATTGGGAAAGTGTCGAAAGGATGAATGGCTGGGGGGAAGACTTCAAGGTCATTTGGGAAGCGGTTTAGAAGGTGACCTCCCACTGCAGTGTCCTTCACTAATTTTGAAGGGGGGGGGGGGGGCACTTTTGCCAATAAGACATCAATGTGAGGACCGTTACACCGCCTGCAAGGGGTATTTTCACATTTGTATATTGTCGGTGGCCGCACTAAAGGCCACCAGGGGGCGCCAGTGGCCCGCCGGCCTTGCAATAAAGAACACCTGTCCCCACTGCTTCGACAGAAGGCCTTGGTTGTCGGAGAGGAAAGTGCATGGAGGGAATAGTGAGATGGCAGGGAAGAGGCAGGCAGAGGCAAGTCCATGGAGGCTCTTGAAGATGATGGTGAGAGTAATATTGACTTGATCTGGGGTTTAATTTGGAGTCGGTAGAGAAATTGGAATACAGACTGTTCTCCTGCAACGTGGTAGTTGCATTCCTGAAGAACACCGCCTTTTGGAAAAATCTTCTTGTAATAAACTATATATATAATACGGGGTAAAGCACAGGTCGTGATAATGTGAGATGCGTATGCAGGCTGAACAAAGACTGAGGCGTCTGGGTAGCATCTGGGAGCATCCAGCAGCATCCCGCCTTGTGCGATGCTCCGCCGACGCGGCCGTACAACCGCTTAATCCTACTCACGCTGCGAGGTAGTTCCGTTCACTCTATCGCGTTATATCCAATTCTCATCCACGTTATTAAAAAAGTGCTTCCTAATACATCACGTTCTATCCAATTCGCGTTATGAACGCACACTCTTCAATAGCGATTGGGTCAAGGCAAAGCGTCCTCCTGCTCCAATGAGGAATGGTTGCTCAGGTCTGTACATATGTTGAACTTCTTCGCATTGTACGTAGCTAAACGTGCTAATCGGAGGTGTAAGAATCTCGATTGTTTGATTGCCCAGACGTCTTGACTCGTGGTGTTATAGTTACAAAATGTTGTCAACACAATTGGTGTTGCTTTAGGTTTTGGGGTTGATGGTTGATTCAACCTACATGATTATTTTAGTAAAACAAATGTTTAGCCATGCTGGAATACCCATCCACGACTAATTTTCAATGCCCTGGCTGAGGGAAGGAGGTTCTCACCCAAGATTTGACGGTACATGGCCCCGTCCATCGTCCCTTTGATGCAGTGAAGTTGTCCTGTCCCCTTAGCAGAAAAACACCCCCAAAGCATAATGTTTCCACCTCCATGTTTGACGGTGGGGATGGTGTTCTTGGGGTCATAGGCAACATTCCTCCTCCAAACACGGCGAGTTGAGTTGATGCCAAAGAGCTCCATTTGGGTCTCATCTGACCACAACACTTTCACCCCGTTGTCCTCTGAATCATTCAGATGTTCATTGGCAAACTTCAGATGGGCATGTATATGTGCTTTCTTGAGCAAGGGGACCTTGCGGGCGCTGCAGGATTTCAGTCCTTCACGGCGTACTGTGTTACCAGTTGTTTTCTTGGTGACTATGGTCCCAGCTGCCTTGAGATCATTGACAAGATCCTCCCGTGTAGTTATGGGCTGATTTCTCACCGTTCTCATGATCATTGCAACTCCACGAGGTGAGATCTTGCATGGAGCCCCAGGCCGAGGGAGACTGACAGTTCTTGTGTTTCTTCCATTTGCGAATAATCGCACCAACTGTTGTCACCTTCTCACCAAGCTGCTTGGCAATGGCCTTATAGCCCATTCCAGCCTTGTGTAGGTCTACAATCTTGTCCCTGACATCCTTGGAGAGCTCTTTGGTCTTGGCCATGGTGGAGAGTTTGGAATCTGATTGAATGATTTCTTCTGTTGACAGGTGCCTTTTATACAGGTAACAAGCTGAGATTAGGAGCACTCCCTTTAAGAGTGTGCTCCTAATCTCAGCTTGTTACCTGTATTAAAGACACCTGGGAGCCAGAAATCTTTCTGATTGAGAGGGGGTCAAATACTTGTTTCCCTCATTAAAATGCAAATCAATTTATAGCATTTATGACATGCGTTTTTCTGGATAGTTTGTTATTCTGTCTCTCACTGTTCAAATAAACCTACCATTAAAATTATAGACTGATCATTTCTTTGTCAGTGGGCAAACGTACAAAATCAGCAGAGGATCAAATGCTTTTTTCCCTCACTGTATGCCTGACTGTGAGGGTGGGCACAAGCCGGCGTGAGTAGGTTAAACGTTGAGTTTTATAAGGGCACCACGGGGTGACCAGCCCCTCCCCACCCAGCCCCACCACTCCCACCCAGCCTCACCTTCCCCGCCCGACCCTCCCCACCCAGCCCCTCCCCACCCATCCCCTCCCCGCCCGACCCCTCCCCACCCAGCCCCTCCCCACCAAGCCCCTCCCCACCCAGCCCCTCCCCACCCTCCCCTCTCCACCCGGCCCCACCCCTCCCATGTTTGTATGCACGACGGATGGACGGACACAATAATCCCCTGTGGGCTGGTGGTGTAACCAGAGGTTCCTACACAGTATAAGTGGCTGGCCTGTGTACTATGTACAATATCCATCACAAATCGCGTACTCTTCTGTTTTCATTCGATGGCCTGTCTTTCTTCCAAAGAGAGAGACGGTCAATAGTTACCTGTACTGTAATCCGTTAATACATTGACGCCTTTTATGACCCCGGCAATAAATTGACTTCCAGTGTAGTTTCTAGAACGCGGTCTTATCTTTGACAGTTTTTTTTTTACGTAATGTTTAACCGTAACGTCGGCTGAATGGCTGGCAACATCGTCTCGCGTCACGAGTGTGGGTTTGTACATTTCGTTTTAAATTGCTTGGGTACTTTGCACATTTCGGTCTGAAAGAATGGTGTCGGCTTTGTCTCTCATCTGCGCGTTACTTTGTATAGAGGACTAAATAAAAGCCCAGCGTTTTCCAAAGGACCTGTTCGTCAAAGAATCGTTTTCTAAAAGGTGAATACACACTACATGTTTTACTTTATTTTGTTGTTGTTGTTGTACTTGCACATTAACTCTGGAGGAATTGGTTTACTTGCACGCCATGGAGCTTGTTAGCTTGCTTATGGAGATGTGTCAAAGCTGTTTCCGGTTCATTCGGTTGCCTACAAGTTATCAGCCAGCTCGGCTTACAGACAACATCGCAAGATTGTTCAGCTGTGTAACGTAAATTTAAATATAAAGAATATCACATTCATAATGCTTTGTACTTGATTTGTGTAGCATTTCTACTGCAATGTCTAGCTTTTGACTTGGTATTTTAAAAAAATAGTACATTATTTCCACTAATCTACGATACTTTGTGATGTCCTCGTGCCCGATTACACTGCTGTATAAATCAACCTGAGGAAACTCTAAATTAATTCCAATTTTATGCATGTGGGTTGGTTGTTATTTGTGGACATATAGGGTAATTTGCTTCTCGATGAATCACCCCAAACAGTAAAAACCTATAAAAGCCCAAAGTTGTTATTGTCCATTGCGAAAATTATGACAGCCCTTGCTGTTGACAGCTGGAAATTGAAAGCTGGCTTAAATACTCAGACTAAAAGCTTGAATGACAGCTGCAAGAGACAGTTATGCATTATGAGCAATCTGTTCAAGTTGATTACGTGTGAAAATGTTTCTTAGAAATTACATGTGATGACATAAGTAGATAAATAGTGAAATTATTTACCCGATGGGTTTTTCTCGCTGCAGGACCTAAAAATAGCTGAACAAATTATATGAACAAATAAATTAGTCATTTTTTATGTGATATAATGCATGTTTATTACATTAGATGGCAGTGATGGTGAGGAATTTAAACAAATATTGTGGAAAGTTATGTATTGCATTGCTGCATACATTCCATACATTTACAGCCCTGGGTCAGTCCACTGCTGGATGATGATTGTGTCATGAGGCTTGATAGTAAACCACCTTACTGATCTTTGCGGTTGTTGCCCAGAACTGGTTCAGATATAAATTGACACTATCAGCTGAGACTCGTAATTGAACTCCGGTCGTTCGGTTCATAGTGCCATGCACAAGACATGTGTGACACTGCTGCTCCCATACCGTATAGAGCATATTGCAACACTTATGCAATGTCCCATAGATTTTCGGCATCCAAAAATAATGTTATGCCAGTATGTAATGGCCACTGCACAGTACTTACGTTTCCACATCTTGCTTAAATGGGGGGCATTATTTTAGTTTTGTAATAGTACTGTTGTATATATAGGCCTTTTTCCAAAAAATAATATTGACAATAATTCTGCCATTTGTTTAATAATAATAATCGATCAAATAAATAAATAAAGTGCCCCCAAACCCGCTACTTCCCACTAGGGTAACTCAAAAGAGATACAAGAAAATAGGTCAAACACACAAGACCAGATAATATGTATTCCATGAAATCAGAGCCTCCCCGGCCGCCTTTGTCTTCCAACAATTTGACACAAACACATGGTAGCCATAAAATATGTATGAAGGAAGAGTGCCTCTCCTCCCTAATAGGAGAGACCACGAAGAGAGGGGTTGGGAATGCAAACAAACAAAATGTGATGGTAAAACAGTCAAAGGTCAAAAAGGGGGGTGGGGGGCAGCCAGGCCGCTGCTGCCACGGGAGGAGGATGGTGACACAGGGCATCTGTTGTTTTTCTCTCTCGCAAGAGACGCGGAGAGAGGAGAGAGAATTTCACATTTAAGCCCGGCTAGGGACAGCTCTGCAAGAAGGAGTGCTGCGAATGACAGTCTTGCAAAGGGGCAGGCTGGCTCCGGGGCAGAGCCTCGAGATCAACCATGGGTGTCGTGTCTCACAAAGAGAAGGGACGATGTGTTGTTAAGAGCTGAGTTCGGCATGAACTGACAAGAGTATGGCTGAAAGTTTTATTCTACATTCATTCTGATGTTTTGAGTCGCTTGCGGAATCAAGGATTGCGGTAAGCTGTATTGTACTAAGCTATCAGAGTTGTGTAAGAGGTGTGCAAATACAATTTTCAAGTTTTGAGAGTGAGTGATCCAGCCAGCGACGAGAAGCTCACAGCAAGAGCCCTCCTGGAAGAAGGGTGAAGAGCACGAAAGTTGAGCAATGACAAAGCGCAGCCCTCAAGTAAGGGCGGGTGTCCGTGTGAAGCTGGCAGCTGCACGATCAAGGAGAGCAAGAGAAATGAGAGAGAAAGAGTGCCGAGCGACGACAAGCACTCAACCTGGAGAAAGGGTGGAAAGCGCCAAGCATCGACCAAGCCAGCATCACAGAGAACCAGCTCCACCGAGCAAGGGTGTCTGCCACCAGCGAACGAGCTGCACACGCAATCAAGCATCGCCAAAGAGCACGGAGTCGGAGAGAGCGCCCAGCAGCGCCACCAGCGCCACCAAGCAAGGGAGACAGCTGCCAGCGGACAAGCGTTGTGCCGACTCGGCTCATCCAGCAGGAGAAAGAGCCTGACCAGCCGCCCGTGAGGAAGAGGAGAGCGCCGGCGAGAGCGCCGTGGGTTCGACCCACACTTCCACCAACGTCACCAAGCCAGGGTGCCAGCTGCCAGCGGACGAGCTGCGGGCGCTACCTGACGACGGGATCATCGCGCACCGACGGCGAGCGTCGTGCTGACTCTTCCACCCAGCTGTGGACAGAAACTGTGGCCGCCCGTGTGAAAGAGGGAGTGCCAAGCTGTCCGTATGATACACTCACACCCTCGCACCCTCACCGCTCCGCAGGGAACAAACACATTTTTGATACAAGGGATGCCCAACCTCGGCGTCTGCTTAACGCAAAGAATTGAACAAGTGGCAAAAAAGACACACACACACAACACGCATATCGGGACAAATAAGATTGTTCCAAAAAGTTATCTTTGTGTTTCAAGAAGGGTTGCCATTCCAAGGTGGTGCGTTAAGTATCAACTGATCGTGAAGAAAATTGCTGCCCATCGAGTTACATGAATGCGATTGTAGAAGTTTTTTAGTCATTCGTTTTCGTTAAGGTTATAATCTTGCCAATGAATTAATTGATAACGACTATTGCTTTAGGGACATGTTTCTTTATTGCCTTCGTATGAATATCGTTGCATTAATTTTAAAGGACTTCTTGTTCCTATCGCCGTATATGCTCGCGTTACTCTAAGGAATTAATCAATTGTTCTGTTACCCAGTTTAACAACGTGATCATTGAGGGTTAAATGTATGGATCGATGAGGAGAACATCTCCAGGAGTACTGTGTTGACAATTCTAAGCATAAGGGTTCGCATATTAGAGTGTTATGTTTTGTTTAGAAATTAAAATTGCTTAACACAGAAGTGTCTGAGTGGTGCCTTCCTAAGTTCATGCGTAATAATCTTAGTTATAAGAACTATATCCTGCGGTGAGATTTGAATTTGGAGACCTGATATAAATACACTAAGATATAATCAGTAAATGTTAAGCGAGAATAATTGTATTATCCCGATTGATAATACAACCCTAGACAACGAAGCCGAGCTTAATCTAGCATACTTACATCACACCTGCATAACTTCTTACAATTAATTGTATGATCCCGATTGATAATACTACCCTAGACAACGAGGTTAAGCCTAATTATCATAACGGTGTGCATTAGCATAATCGCATACAATTACACCTTCCAAATTAGCACAATTTACGTGCATAATTACATCAATTAACAAAATTCGAATAATTACACAATTTTTCCCAAATTTCATTTATTTTTTCTTATTTTCATTAAATTTTCAAGACCCGGCATATACAACAGTACCTTAAGGGCCTTACAGTACTGCTCTTTTACATTCCCAACGCAATGTAGTTGTAAATGAATAGGTGTATTGAGGTATAGAGGTACAGTGCTTGTCACAAGTGTATCTCTGCTCTTATAACACAGCAAGTTGGCAGAGTAGGGGGCACAAATGGTGTATCGGCCAGTCAACCCATGGCACCTGGGTCTGTCTCATGACCTGCAAGCAGGCCTGAACATGCACATCGCCTGGCACAAGCGCCGTGGTGACATCACTGCCACTTAGTGATGAATGGCCATTTTTGTTTATAAGTATGGGGTAATATATGTTGTTAACCATAGGCCATTGGTGGAAATTCCACTTTTTGTTCTTAGGACTCCTGTTGATTTCCCACGAAGCACAGTACTGTAGTGCTCATCTTATCAATGCTAACGGGATGATGAAGTGTCCCAAATTGGCAAGCGGACACTTGCAATTGTCTGACTCATTGCTGAATTGCATAGTGAAACACAAACCCACACTTTGCATCCATTGTAAAGATAATTTACACCTACATATCATGATTACATGCTTCCGGTTGCAAAGCCAGGCATTTGCATTTGTGGTTGAGCGTTCGGATAAACTGAAGGTTTATGTTCTGTTTGAGAGGAGACCTGATGGCTCATTGGGGCATTCTGTCTACAGGAAACCCACCCACACAGATTCCTACTTTAAACCTGATTCCCACCACCAACCAGCTTAAAATAATTCTCTCATCAAAACTTTATACCATAGGGCTCATTGCATTTCGGACCAACACCACCTGACCAGTGAATTAAAACATATACACCTGGCCCTCAAAAGGAATGGATACTCTGACCGTATCATCCGCCAAGCTGTCTCTCCCTCCATTCAGAAACAACCACTTGATACTCCGGTCAAAACCATCACACTACCATATATAGCAGGCGTCACTAAAAAGATTTCCTAAATTCTGAACAAACACAAGATCCAGGTCCGGTTCAATACAGTGCACAAGGTTCGTGATCTGATCCCATCCGTGAAGGATGTCATTCCTGACTTACAGTACCCCGGGGTTTACAAATTGAGTTGTACCTGCGGTGATTGCTATATCGGGGAGACGAAGCGACATGTCTCTGACCGAATTCGCAAGCACAAATCAGATTTGAAACACGGCAGAACGAATTATTCTGCCGTAGCTGATCACTTTTACAACACTGTGGGTGATCACGATATAATTT